TCATTTAAAGCTACTTTACCATACTTTATTACAACATTTTTGTTTCTTCCATACCGTGTTGCGCCCTCTCCCTATTTAAGCAATGCTGGACTGTTTTTATTATGTCTGTTTTTTTGCCATCCATAAACTTCTTTAAAAAACCACTAGCTTAACAGATCAAAACTTTACTCTGTAAAAAAATATATAAAGTAGTAGTATTCCATATTTTGTGATTAATGTTTTTTATTTTTCTGTTTATTTATGGTTTTGAATGGATTTATGGGACCTTGATCTATCTTCCAACAACTTTTGACCTTCTGAAGTTCAAATAAGTTACTTTTATTAACATTTTAACAGTTCAAAGTGATATATTGTCTAGGTTGGTGTTGTAAATTATGTTAAAAACCTTGCCAGTACATGTTCTGCAGACTTATTTCTTAAAATATTATTTCACATACATTATATTATTTTAAACTACTTAAATTGTAACAAAAGTCACTTTGTTCAAGTTGAATTTTCAACATCAAAAGTCGACAGAGCAGAGATCAAGTTCCCATAATGCAATTCACAACTAAGCAAATAAATGGAAAACACACATGAATCACAAAATACAAAAGCTGTTAATTACAGATATTTTTTTTACAATGTAGGATTGATATTATCGCTTACATTAACTATACAGCTGACTGGGTGTTTAAAACTGGGTGTATAAAAGGGATCTGCTATGGATTTTTTCAGCATTTGTTTTTATTATCCTCTGTGTCTTGAAACAAAATGGCTTTATAAACAATGTAGTGAAACTCTGTTTCACTTATTGTTAAGCACAATGTTTTATGTTTAAGTGTTTGCATGTATTGTTTGTGCCATCTGTCATCTTTTAGTATTTACAGTTTTTCTCAGTCGCTCTGGTGCATTTCTCACTACACTATTTACATTTGCACAACAGTTAATGCATTTCTCAAAACAATTAGTCATTTGTGCACATCCCAGTAGCAGTTTCTCATTCTTTTCAACAAATTGTGAATGCTTTTGGACAAGCATCAATTGCTTTCATACAACTCTCTGCTATTTATAAAATTATCATTTGCTTCTGTCATGTCAGTCAAAATGAACTAAACTTGTAAATGCTGAATAGCCATTCTATATAAAACTAATAGTCTTCATTTCATTACTTGAGTCATTACATACAAAAATGGTGAACTAGTTGTCAAAATCTGTCAAACCAATTTTTATAAAAACAAATTTAAATCTTTATTTTCCTGAAAATGTCTTTAAAATTTAACAATTTGATGAATGATTTACAGACCTATGTATGTTGCAGGCTCAGTTCGAATATGTACTGCAATATTGTTTACAGTTGTGCACAGCTCTACCTAAAGGGAGTTTATGTTTGTTGTAAATAAGGGTGTGTTTTATTTTGCACAACACTGTGAGTAAATTAGGATTGCAAAGAGCAAATGCAGTAAAAATGTGAAACATACATATTTATTGTCTTGTACTCAGATAACTCACTTAATGCAGTGATGTCTCACTTTAATGTAGTTTTCAAATGGCTGTGCAAATAGTCTATAGTGCTGTCTTGAGCATTTTCAGGAAGAGTCACCAAAATCAGGCTTTTTTTTTGCATTGAAAAAATGTAGAGAGTAAACTGTCATAATGAAAACATGACTTAGCCATTTGACTATCTTGTTCATAAACAATGGTGTCAGGACTTTTCATTTTGATACTGACAGTTTGATTGACATGAATACTTGCTTTTGAGGAATGAACTATCCATTTTGAGCATGTGACGTGCTTTTGCAGGTTATCAGCTAGGTTTTGCAGTTTGCACTAATTGTTTTGAGAAATGCATTAACTGTTGTGCAAATGTAAATAGTGTAGTGAGAAATGCACCAAAGCAACTGAGAAAAACTGTAAACATCTGTCCGATATGAGCTTGTTTATAAATCAGAATAAATTCTGTACTGTGTGTGTCAGTGTATTATACTACCATTCAAAAGTTTGAGGTCAGCAAAATCTTTTTGGAAAAGAAAATGCAAAGATGCATGATTAAAAGCAACTATAAAGACTTTTACTAAAGACAAATTATGTAAAGACTACAACATATAATAATTTAAAAAAAAATTAAAAAACTTTCTACTTACCAAATAATTCTATAAAGAATTTACATACATTTACTGGCCACTTTATAAGGAACACCTGTCCAACTTCTCATTAACGCAAATTTTTAATCAGCCAATCACATGGCAGCAACCTAATGCATTTAGGCATGTAGACATGGCCAAACCAATCTGCTGCGGTTCAAACAGAGTAATAGAATGGGGAAGAAAGGTGATTTAAGTGACTTTGAACATGGCATGGTTGTTGGTGCCAGCCGGGCTGGTATTTCAGAAACTGCTGATCTACTGGGATTTTCACCCACAACCAACGACTTTTACTAAAGACAAATTATGTAAAGACTACAACATATAATAATTTTTTAAAAATTAGTGAGCGGAAGTTCTGTGGGCGCAAATGCCTTGTTGATGCCAGAGGTCAGAGGAGAATGGCCAGACTGGTTCCAGCTGATAGGAAGGCAACAGTAACTCAAATAACCACTTGTTACAACCGATGTTGTCATGTCAATATGGACCAAAATCTCTGAGGAATATTTCCAGTATTTTGTTGAATCCATGCCACAAAGGATTAAGGCGGTTCTGAAGGCAAAAGGGGGTTACTAGTAAAGTGTACCTATTAAAGTGGCCAGTGAGTGTATAATGATCTCCAACAACAGTAACAATAAAAAACACATAAGCAGTTGAGTTGGAAAATAAATTCAATTATAACAATAAAAAGTGTTTCTTGAGCCCCAAATCAGCAAACATAATGATTTCTTAAGGATAATATACACTAGACAGGAGGTTGGCTAGACAGGAGAAAGGCTGACAATTCAGCTTACCCTCAAAAAGTTATTTTAAATAGTAATAATATTTCTAATTTCCAGCATTACTTTTATTTTCCATTTGAAATGATCTCTTTTTTATAAGTAACTACAGCCTTGATAAAACTTTCAAAAATATCTTCCCCCAAATATTTGAATGGTAGAGTCCATAATCATATCTATTCCATATTTGTTTTATACATTTGACATATGCATCAACAAACATAACATATTTCTGCTACTTTACACACTACTCGATAAATATTTTTAATAAACGATTGCATTTTAATGTTACAAAAGCTGTTAAAAGGTTTTCCCAGTTTTGAAAGTTTTACCTTATAATGAAGTTTGCATATGTGCTAATGTTTTGTGGCCCATGATTCCATTTTCTCATATACAGTAGCACAGATGCAGGTGATGACTCTGGAGAACTGGACTTCAGTGCTTTACTGAAAAAGAGGTGAGATATACATTCATTCAATACACAAATGGACATTTTATAACTTGCAGTTTTATAAAAGACCTAAAACAGATTATGGTTCCAAGATTAAGTGTTCTTATGGCTCTGAATTGCTCTTTATGTCCATTGAAACTAGTTCGGTTGTAGTTTGTAACAATGGCATTATGAATAAACTGTGTATTAAATCCAGATATTTTACCAGCACTTTACTTAAGTAGGTGTTCCTGAGACTGTAATAAAACATTTATAATCATGAAACATCAGGAATTTGAGATTTTATGCATGCTTATGAAACTGTCATAAGTTTCATTCACTCATTCATTTATGTATTTTTGTTATCACAACTCGACATTACGGCGACGCGGTGGCGCAGTAGGTAGTGCTGTCGCCTCACAGCAAGGAGGTCACTGGTTTGAGCCTCAGCTGGGTCAATTGGCAATTCTGTGTGGAGTTTGCATGTTCTTCCTGCGTTCGCGTGGGTTTCCTTTAGTTGCTCTGCTTTCCCCCACAATCCAAAGACATGTGGGTGAATTGGGTAAGCTAAAATTGTCCGTAGTGTATGAGAGTGAATGAGTGTGTATGGATGTTTCCCAGAGATGGGTTGCGGCTGGAAGGGCACTTACTGCGTAAAACATGTGCAGGATAAGTTGGTGGTTCATTCCGCTGTGGTGACCCCGGATTAATAAAGGGACTAAGCTGAAAAGAAAATGAACGAATGAATGGACTCGACTACTAAGAAAAGATAATCTCTCAGAGTCTGTTATGTTAATTGTCATGAGATTTTTAGCAGCATCCCTAATATTTTTGTTGACCCCGCCTAGAGTTATTCAAATTGAATTTGTAATTAAAACATCATTAAATGTCATTAAATATAAATGACTTTGTTATAAAGCTATAAAAGTCATCATAAAAATATTTTATGACACAATTATAGTGACCCAATGAAAGTCATGTTTATGACAGATTTATAACATGTTATCTTGGTAATGTCAAGTTGTCATAACAAATACAAAGACAGGTTGTTATGTTTGGTTATGTCAAGTTGTGATAACAAAGACATCACAAACAATGTCTTATTTGCATTTAAAATGACATAACTGACCAAAAGACATTCATTATCCATACCTATAATAATGCTTAAAATATCATTCACATTTATGAAAAATCATGGTTCTAACTGTGTCATGACAGTCTTATGAACACCTCATTCAAGTAAAGCCTTATCAATATTTTTTTCAAAGGCTCACCTATGTAAAATTTTGTTTTCTTTTTCACCTCTATGACCTTGCCACTCCCATATTCAGAGAGTAAGTGAGCCACACTGAACTGCCTGCTTGTGCATGATGGAATGTTGAGTGTTGTACTGGCAAGTGTTTGTTTGTGCGATACCTTGATCATTCTCTCCTAATCAGCCACTGATTGCCAACTTTAGTTCTTCTGTTTTTCCACTCTGCAGACTGCACACCCACTTGGAAATAGATAGACAGAGAGCCACGTTTGAATTATTTTTAGCAAACTCCATCATTACTCATATACTCCTAATTAATCACATTAATAAACCTAGAACTGTCACGATTCCTGTCGTTTTACATCCCACTGCATTCATCCCACATTCACTGCATCTGACACGACAGCATAGCAAATCAGTTATGTCAGTTAAACACCATGTGTTCACAAAAATTATTGATACTTCAGTTAGTTTAATAAACATACACATGGATAAAAAAAACTCCCAAACTGCTAAAAATGAAGGTTCTGAGGTAGCCATAGAAGAACAAGGGTCGGTTCCCCTGATATCCTTTCAGTCAACAGTTCATGAAAGAAACATTTGTTTTTCTAATTAAAAAAAAACATTTTAAGGATCTAAAGATTATTTTATAGTATGACCAATTTCCATTGGTGTTAAAAATTTTTCACAAAACCAAAGATGCTGATAGAGAACCTTTATTTTTAAGTTTGACGAGAAGCCTTCTGCAGAAAACAGTGTAGATTTTGCATGTTTTAAGTGCCTGTATAATTCTGAATTGTAAATGTGTGTGTAAAATTGTCTTGATGTTCATACATTGCATTGCTAATGATAGTGTGCAATAATCTGATGTGGTTTGTCTTACCATGCTTGACGCTTGTGGTTCTGCCTCTACATAAGTACAGCAGTTTCGTAAAAACGGGCCAGCGGTAAGTTATAATATTAATCACATATAAATAAATTATATATATATATATATATATATATATATATATATATTAATATATAACATTATTATTATTTACTTGACATTGAATTATTATCTGCTATTGTAAACAAGCTACAAAATTTAATAAATAATATGCCTAAAATGACATTTAATATGCTCATAGTTTTCAACATCTATGGAAAATATCTGTAGAACTGTAGCACAAGTTTTTATTAGTTTAAAGTCACAGATATTTTGATCAGATTTCAAAAAATGAAAAACACGTATACAGCGTGTGGAAAAAATGGCAAGTTTTGGGCACCTGCAGCAGTATACCAGTGACTAAAACTGTGGGATATTCTTAAACACAAATATTATTTAATGTGACATAAATGTTATTTAATATACAACTTATTGATAATACTACTGCACATAATGGCATGCAGATTAGCCCACAATATCCATACACTTAATGCATGATAAATCCAAATTAAGCATTTGCTTTATAAAGGTTTTCTCACTGCGTTCATATATTACCAAATCTATTTACAACATTAAGGGTGGTCAATGGAGGAAGGCCTTGTTTTGCTCTCATTTGGGTGAATTGTTTTTCATTTTTGCAAGGTTCACTCAAAATGAGAATTTTGACATAATTTATTAATGTCATTTTAAAACTGTAGGATTTTGTTGTTGTGCAGAACAAGTTGGCCTATTATCAAGTTATTATAAGGCAAAAGGAGTCACTAATTTGGAACCCACTGACTTTCATTGTGTTGACAAAAAAAATTTAAAAATGAACAAGCAAATACCAATGCCATGTCGAAGTACAGCAAGGAGGATAATGACAAACTACTTTATTCAATGTAACTCCTAATACAAACTTTCTGTTACATAAATACAAGGTAAGCTAGGGTAGAAAGGGAATAAGGAAGGAGTGAATATCAAAAGAGATACAGTTTTACAAATAAATAAAAGTAAAACAATTAAAACAAAAAAAGCAAAGTTAAAATCATACAGGTTTGATAAAACATAGGAATGAATAAATGATCCTTATTTAATTTTTTTGCTAAATTCTTCCTTTAGCCAACTTAGCACATTGTGAACTCAGTGTTACCTGTCTTGATTAATCAGACATTGTGATAACTGTCCTTATCAGTTTCCATCTTCTGTTTGCAGAGCTGTTCATGTGAGCACAGAGCCAGACGTAGATGTATGGGATATCCTTCAGAAAGCTCCTCCATCAGAGTATGAAAAGATCGCCTTCCAGTATGGCATCACAGACCTGCGGGGGATGCTTAAGAGACTCAAAAAAATGAAAAAGGAAGAAAAGAAAAGTGCAGGTTTGGAGTAACTTGTTAAGTGCAAACGTAATCCATTACAATATTTAACATTTCATATCAAGTCATTTATGAATTGGGCTGAGTGAAAGACTATATAGAGAAATTATGCATAGTTTGCTCTCTTACCTTCAGGTGCTTTATAGCTTTAAATCGATCTGTCTAATATACGACATCAAACGTTAATATGTTATATGCTCATGTAAATGTCTCTTTCTCCAAACACTCTTCAAAAGTGTTTCCAACATACTACCCAGATTTCTTTTTTTGTTCCAGTCTCTCCCAGTAAATGTGCCTGTCTCAGAATTTAATTCGTTAGATAAAATATTTGGAAAATTCATATGGCAGAAAAAGAAAGCTAGGATAAAATATAAAACATTGCTTTTATCAAAAGATAAAGGAGGTTTATGCTTACCAAATCTAAAATATTACTACTGGGCAGCTCAATTAACCGCAATAGTAGCTTGGATTAAAAGTAATAAAGAATCAAGATGGGTCTAAATTGAACAAAGCACAATAAAAGAGACATCACTGTCCGTTCTACCTTTTATAAATGTAAAACAGGCTCCAAAAATTCAAATAGATAACCAATGGATAAAACATACTCTAAAAATTTGGAATAAAATAAAAAAAATGTTTGGGGGTCCAGATTCTATATCCAGGGCCATGCCTATAGTAGGAAACATTGAGTTTCTCCCATCTGTGTGGGATGGTGGATTTCGAATATGGGTAGATAAAGGTCTTATAGCAATAAATCAGTTATTCGTTGGAAAAGAAATTAAATCATTCTCACAACTCCAAGAAAAATTTAATATTTCACCAAAAGATATGTATAGGTTCTTCCAAATAAGACATTACATACCATAAAGAAAAAGCTCTAATCATGCAAGAACCAAATAAAATAGAGCAATACTTCATAAATATTACAGAAAAAAACACTCCAGCTAAAAATCACGTCTCCCATTCATACAAAAGATTACTAAATAATACTGTACAAAATACTGATCACGTTAAAGAAAAATGGGAACTAGAACTAAATACCATAATCGAGGATGAGGTCTGCCTGGTCTGGACTGAGTTATGTGAAGGATGTCATAAAGGAATTAATAGTCAATTGTGGAAAGAATTTGATTGGAAAGTAAAAATGAGATACTTTAATACTCCTTTTGTAATTTCTACATACGTAAAAGGACCATCGGTAGCTTTGTGTTGGAGAAAATGTGGTAAAATTGGAGACCATACCCACATTTTTTGGGACTGTCCTACGATTCAAGAGTTTTGGAAAAATGTTAAAAAAGAAATAGATAATATATTAGATAGGGAAATACCCCTCGATCCAGTTGTGTGTTTACTGGGAGCACTGCCCAAAGAGATGTTTGATAAGGAAGCAAGATTTGTCCTAAGGATATTATTACTGGTTGCAAAAAAAATGATAACAGTACATTGGATGGAAGAAAGTTCTCCAAAAGTGTCTCAGTGGATTCAGAGACTTAAACAGGTCTATATAATGGAAAAAATGACTGCATGTCTACAGATGAAAACTGATATTTTTCTAAGGAGGTGGAAAAGTATTACAACATATTTGGATATGTATATTTAGAGATTGCTTAACCTCACCTTAACATGACTGTTAATTGATGTAACTACTATGCAATACAATGTAACTTGATGTACAGATGTATCCCCTGGAAAGTAATTATGATGGCAATACCTTTTATTTTAACTTTTTTATTTTCTTCTTTATTTTTTATTATTATTATAATTTCATTATTTCTTTTCCCCCTCGTGTGTAAGGAGTAAAAATTTTGGGGGAAGGGGTTGTTCTGTAAAATAATTATATAGAAAAATCTTAAATAAAAAGTTTCAAAAAAAAAAAAAGTGTTTCTACAAGACTACAAAGTCCAAAAAAGCAAAAAATAAACATTTATTTTAATTCAATTGTGCTTTGTTTTACAGCACATGTACTTAGCCTGTACTTAGCTAAGAGTTATACAAAGTAACCACATACTGTTGATTAAAGGGATAGTTCACCAAAAATGAAAATTCTGTCATAATTTACTCACCCTTCAAACCTGTTTCAGTTTCTTTGTTCTGTTAAAAACACACGCACAAAGATATTCTGAACAAACCTGAAAACCTTTAAACATTGACTTCCATAGTATTTGTTTTTCCTGCTATGGAAGTCAATGGTTCTCAATTTCTTCAAAATATCTTCTTTTGTGTTCAACAGAACAAAGAAACTCATAAAAGTTTGGAATGTGTGAGTAAATAACGAGTAAATTTTCCTTTTTCAGTTGAACTATCCCTTTAAGGTTAGATTCAGAGACAAATTGAAAAAATAAAAATTAAGTGCTACTGTAACTTTCTAATGGCAGTTGAGCTTTCCATCCTTTTTTATCCCCAGCATTTCTTAAGAAGCTGGACCCAGCATACCAAGTCGAAAAGGGACACAAGATCAAACTGGAAATTGAAGTGGCCAATCCAGATGCAGAGGTTAAATGGCTGAAGAATGGACAAGAGATACACCCAACTGGAAGGTACGTATATGGTAAAAATACACAATTAACATATAATAAACATGAGCTACATTTATTATGCATTCTTTTAAAGTCGTTGCTTAATCTACCTATTTCTTTGCCTTTTGACATCATTGTGCTTGTGGGTGGATGTCCTGCTCTCCCTTCTCTCCACTGTCAACCCTAGCAAGTGAGTGCACAATATGAACCCTTATACATGATAAGCGTCCTTAGGGCTCGTCTGTGAGGTTAGATGTCTCAAACAGCCCGCCAACTATGAATATGTAAGGACAGTTTTCCAAAAATACATAGCAGACCTGTGGACTCAGATGTCAACTGTGCCAATGGACGGAGGTTGTCAGATGTTTAAGGACAGACTGAAATAACAATAGAAAAATAAATGGAGCAATACCAAGAGGGTCCTTGCACCGTTGGTGCATGTCACCTAAAAATGATCCCCAGTGACCTTAGTTAAATAAAACCCACTCTAAATATAGCCTCTTAAAAATAAAGAGAGCGACATAGAGGAATCATTGTGAGTAGGGCTAAGCCGATAAACTATATATATTATAATGAATGGCAATAAAATGTATGTCAATAACAATAAGATCTGGACTTTTTTACTCTATATTGATCTAGGAGCCAATCACACAGCAGACATATGCAACTAAAATGTGAAATTAGATGTACCAAATATTTGGGCACCGAAAATATATTGGCTAAAAAAATTTGTTATTATTAAATATGTTATTAAATATGTTAATATGCCATTTAATGGACCCTCTAATTTTGTGGCGTCAGTCGTTGTTGGGTAATTTTTTAAATCTGAAAGCATTGCCAACTTATATTGAAATATATATCGTTATAGTTCAATATGGAAAATAATTATCAAGATTGCATTTTTGCCGTATCGCCCAGCCCTACTTTTAAGTTCAACAAAGACGCTTTCAGGAAAAAATATCCACTTGAAAACTTTTCTTAGAGTGAAGAACATTGTAATAAACTTGTAATACATTTTTACACCATAAACAACAATAAAGACTCCTCATAATGCCACTAAAACTGCAGAATTTTAAAATGACTGTTTTCATATGTTTATAAAAGTAACAAATTATTTGATTTTTTTTCCCTTGATAAGTCTTTTGTTCATTTCTGACATTCACATGTATTAATACAGTCTCCTCCTGTATGTTTGTATAGTCTCTTCAACGGTGATGCTTTGTCTCCATCTAGAGAACCAAGCTAGAAATGCTACTGACATTTTAATTTGTTTACCCCACAGGTACATCTTCGAGAGTGTTGGCAACAAACGCTTCCTCACCATCAACAACTGTTCCCTGTCAGATGATGCAGCTTATATGTGTGTGGTTGGAGATGAGAAGACCGTCACTGAGCTCTTTGTTAAAGGTCATTAACCTGCATAGATGGAGATTAGAATTATACACATTCCAATTAATGCACATATTATAATTAAGACAGATATTTTAGCAAATATATACAGCCAAGCCTGAAATTATTCATACCCCTGTCAAATTCTGATTTAAAGTGCTTGTTCAAATATAAATAAAATGTAAACAAACCCCAGATTAAAAATGGGACTAAGCCGAAAAGAAAATGAATGAATGAATGAATGAATGAATGAATGAATGAATGAGAAGTAATAAAAGTACTTGCCTGTTGAAAAAAAATAACTTAGTTTGAGTTTTCCAGGAGTATGAACAATTTATAAAATAAAAGAATAAAACATTTATTTTTTCCATCACTTTGTATCCCCAGAGCCTCCTGTACTGATCGTACGCAACCTTGAGGATCAGATGGCTATGAAAGGAGATCGAGTGGAGTTTGAGTGTGAAGTGTCTGAAGAGGGAGCTCAGGTGAAATGGTAGGTCTGTCAATATGAAAGCACTTCATTTTCCCCTTTGTAACACAAATTCAAGGACAGATTAAAAGCGGTGTGTGATTAAACATTTAAAAAGCAGATGTTTGTAGCAAACCTCATAAGACCAAAGGCAAAAATCACACTAGAAAATGAGTTTTGATGTGTTGCCTTGGATGTGGCAGAGTGCTGGCGTTGCTCAGATGTCCAGTAGATGGCACATGTGTCTCTATGAGCGAGTTTGGCTGCTTGGGTGAGTCACACTGACTGACAGATGGTGGTTCGTGAGTGAGTGCTGGTTCTGCCATAGCTCTGGCCAAGCCTCTATATCACCCTGGGCTGTAAATGATCAGTGCCTGGAAAAGGTCATAGCAGCCTTTTAGCACCTCACAAGTTTCCTAGAATGGAATGAGAAAGTCACCGGCAGTTTATGGCACCTCTCTTGATGAGTGGATGACGAAATAGATTCTGTTGCTGGAACCAAAACATCATTCATCAGTTTATATTACAAGGGTAATAGTGTAATAATGTGGTTCTGTGTGCCTAATTTGAACTGCATTGGTAACAAAAGATTATGAGTACATGAGAAAAGATTAGCATCTATCAACGTAAATCTTCATCAATTTGATTTATCCCACTTGGGTATAAGTAATAATGTTCACTAATCTAGACTCAAGAGGCTGCTATTAATAAATATACATCATGGTCATCATCAATTTAAATTATTTTTTCTTCAATTTCAGGAATTGTTTCCTGCCCTTGTAACTTTTTAGTATAATTTCACCAGACAACGATCACAGATTGGATTAAATCTTGGAAATGGGTTTTTCAAAAGTAACAGGGGTTTTGAATTAAAATCAGACCATGTAATCCAATCTTACATTTGATTTGGATTAAACCTGGCCTTTGCGTAATTCAAAACTTTGAACTTAGATTGGAATCTATTTTATCCAAAAAAACAGGGTTATCCTGATCCCATCAGAAGGGTGGATTCAGTTGTAATTTTTAATTCAAATAAATATATAAAAAAGTTTTATTTTTTAAGTGAATGATCACAAACTTAATGGTTACTGATTATATAGCAATTCTATCATGATTGAAGCCTATATGAAGCATGTCACATCTAATAGGATAAACAACAACGACAAAACAATATCAAAGCAGTATTGTATTAGAACAAATAATCATTCATTTATTCTATTTTCAGCTTAGACAACTCATCCAGCTTTTGTTTTACGCAGTGGATGCCCTTCAAGCCCAACACTGGGAAACACCCACACACTCTTGCATTCCCATACACTACGGCCAATTTAGCTTATTCAATTCACCTGTACTGCATGTCTTTGAACTGTGGGGGTAACTGGAGCACCCAGTGGAAACCCACAGAAACACGGGGAGAACATGCAATCTCCACACAGAAATGCCAACTGACCCAGCCGAGGCTCAAACCAGCGACCTTCTTGCTGTGAGGCAATCATGCTACCCACTGCACCACTGTGCTGCCCTTAGAACTATCAAAAAATGTAAAATGTTTGTTGATTAGTGTGATGTTCGTTGAGTGTTTCTGTTTCTTACCATTAAAACAAACAATAACTGTTGGTGGCCAATGGTATTTTGCCTAACTGTTGTTCTTCGCTAAGCCAGTAGGCTATACTGTTGGTTTCATTTGGTAAACAGGATTTGCTCACAGTGATCCAACCCAATGTTCCTTTAAAACTGCTATAAATGTGTCTGGAACATTTGCAAATCTGGACCAATCTGATCCAGATTAAATGTTTTGAAAAACTGGGCCCAGGTGTTTTCGTGATTCTTTCTTGTGTTAGTGGTCAGGTCTTGTCTGTGAAAGGTGTTCTTAGTCCTCTTACTTGAGCTTTTCTAGTTTATTTTTGTATGTATATTATTATACGATATTCAAGGTGTCTTTACTGGTTTGTTTCACAAGTCATGCCAGTTTCAAAAGTCATTTCAGTAGCTTTTTCCAGTTCTTTCAAGCATTTTAGTTAACTACTGTATAAGAGACTATGAAATCAAAAGTCAATCTATTTTGGTTTATTGAAAACTCTCCTATACTCTTTTTATGACTTTTTTTTCCTAAACTCAAACTTTAAATTTCATTACCTTTATTTCATGATCTTCCAGTGCAAATGTCAGACTTATCTCAGGTGATATTTGCCAGACATTTACTCTACTTAAGGCTGGCCACATAGCTGAAGAATTTAAGCCTGTTCTGATTGCGGGGGTGACACACAGCCTGTCACAACCAACTTCCTGTCCAAAGAAAAATCAATTGCGTAGTGATAATGATTATTTTACTGCTCCTGACTGAGCTAAAACCTCCCCAAAGTCAAACTGTAAATTTCAAGCATTCATTGGGCTGCTTTTAACAATAAACCAACAATAGCCAATGAGAGCGACAAAGCATAACTAATCTAATGCTGGATTTTTATAGCTTCAAGACACAAACATGTCATGAAAATGAAGCAGAGGAGAAAAGATAAACCCATATTTCCAGCCATTTTTTTTGGTAAAACGTCACACACAAAGAATAGCTGATGACGTCAACTCTCCTCCATTTATGTGATTCTTCTGAAGTCACACATGTTTCTGAGAGATCTCGTGTCAGTGAGATCTTATGTCTGAGGAATTGTCAGTTAGACATTGTTTCTACAGTTGACAGGTGTGTAGTCTTGTGGTCTGGCTGAATCGTCTAGTATATACGTTCAGAGCATTATGTTACAAATGGATTGAACTTGTCCATATAACCGTAGTCTGCTACAATTTTAAATCCAGTTAAGAATACAAAATAATGTGCCCATTTTTACATATTTAAGAATAAAGAACTTATTAATTCAAATCAAGTTAAAATTAACATGTTTATAGTGAAATGCAATTTAATGAGAAGCATGCATTAGTATTAATCAATATTAATTAATATTAACAAATAACAACTGTCTTATCTGTATAGGGAAAAGGATGGTGTGGAACTCACCCGAGACGAGTCCTTCAAGTATCGCTTTAAGAAAGATGGATGCAAGCATGTCCTTATCATTAACGATGTGACCAAGGAGGACTGTGGACATTACCGGGTCAAAACCAATGGAGGACAGTCATTAGCAGAGCTCATGGTTCAGGGTAAATATCTCAGTTTGGATAGTTTCAACACCTTAAATATAATGTGTTTTATTTAACATTTTGTTTTATAGGGAGTTTTATTATACAAAGTTATGTTTTTTTGGAGTATTTATAATCCATTTATGAGCTGTGACCTGTGATCTGAGCATAGGACTGAATGCTTTGGAGCACTTAAGTGTGATCTCCTTTTAAAGAAGAACTTGGCAGATTATTGCTTAAGTAACAAAAAGTTTTTACTTTTTTTTTTACATTTTTGTTATGATATTTATGGTCATAATTTTGTTTTATTTGATAAATACATGTTGGTAACATTAAAAAATTATGGTCCTGTAGTTAATGTTAATTCATGTATTTACTAACATGAACAGTTAGTAATACACTCATTACGGTATTTATTCATCTGTGATAATGTTAGATAAGTTAAATAACTTTAGTTCATATTAACTCAGTGCATAAACTTAAATATTGACAAGCACAACTTTGAATTTTGATAATGCATTGGTTATTGTTGAACTATGTTTAACAAATGCTTTACAAGATTATTCATACAGTACTTACAGTAGTTAATGTGAGTAAATGCATTAACAAACATTAAAAATGGACCACTATTCTAAAGTGATACACATTTTGTTTTTTTCAGATGCGTTTGGCTCTAAAACTGTGAGAAAGACACATCCTTAACATTAAATAATTCAAATGTGAGGGTTTAAAAAACTTCTATAATCATCAGACAAAAATATTTTATACAGATTTTCTTTTTCTTTTTGAGAAGTGTTTAATTTTACTAGATAAAAACAGCAAAAGATATACAACTTATCACATTTGAAAAAAATAAGGAGGGGGGGGGATACCCATTTTTGACAGTATACCATCATAAAATGTGAAAATAACCAATAAAAGAAGGCTTTAGGAAGAATAACCAATAAAAGAAGGCTTTTATTATTTAAATGGACAATTTCTGACTGTGGAGATTAGCTGGCCAATTTGTTATTTGACTATAGGCTAAAGGCTATTTGCCTATAAGTTTTAACAGATTCCCAGTTTTTTGTTTGTTTGCTTGTTTGTTGGTTTTTTTATGATGCATGATAATAAATTGTAGTCCCATTACATTATATAACACTGTATTAACCTGACAGATTAAATGCACAGTTGTAAATAAACATTTTTTGAGAACAAAAATAGTATGATATGTACTTTGACAAAAATGTAGGAAGTATCTTTGTTGCATCAAAAAGTGTGGTTATGATAACCATCGACAACCTAATTTAGCACAAATTAGTGCTTAAAATGTCACTAAAATGCAGCATTTGAACCTCATAATTTGAGGCGAATAACTGCAAAAAGGTCCACTTTTTGGGGAAAAAAGAACCTCCTCTTTTAATAGGCAGGCTACTGGCCTGTCCAACAAAAATATATATTTTTTGAAATTGTTGCAAATTTATAAAAAATAAAAAACCTAAAAAATGACATGTACATAAGTATGCACCATAGACTGTAAAATATGGTATGCACATGTACATAAGAGCCTTTGCTCAATACTTTGTTGATGCCCCTTTGGCAGCAATTACAGCCTCAAGTCTTTTTGAATATGATGCCACAAGCATTCATTTTCTTTTCGGCTCAGTCCCTTTATTAATCTGGGGTCACCACAGCGGAACGATCCGCCAACTTATCCGGTATATGTTTTAAGCAGCGGATGCCCTTCCAGCTGCAACCCATCTCTGGAAAAACATCCATACACACTCATACAAACTCATACACTATGGAGAATTTAGCCTACCCAATTCACCTGTACCTTTTTGTTGTGAGGCGCCAGCACTACCTACTGCGTCGTCAGCTTGGCACACCTTTCTTTGGTAATTTTTGCCCATTCCTCTTTGCAGTACCTCTCAAGCTATATTAGGTTGGATGGGAAGCGACGGTGTACAGCCATTTTTCAGATTGTCATTATGGGGTATTGTGTGTAGAATTTTGAGGAAATACTCAATTCATTTTGGAATATGGCTGTAACATAAAATATGTGGGAAAAGTGAAGCGCTGTAAATATTTTCCAGATGCACTGTATTTGCTACAGTATATGCGGCAGTTACAAAGTCATTTAATATTTAGGATCTAAAAGATTTCATGTCAGGTTAAAGCCATCTAACAGCATTCTTCACTCGTCCCTTAAACCTCACTCTCCCATGGCCATGTCATTCAAACTTCGCCACTTGTCAGTGCAAAAAAACATGGCCACCAGCACTTCTGTACAAGGTTACCACTCACACTGCCCACATGCCAGCTATTGTTAGACCGCCTGACCCATATATTTTAACAGGGCAGGTGACTCTGTCTGTTCCTCCCTCACTCTCTCTCTTTGTCATTGTCACACACAACTCAGTCCCTCTCTTTTAATAGCATCTAAGAAAGATTTATGACTCATTCCCTTTCTCTCTCCCATTTCTTTTTATTGTTTGTTTCTGTCTCTTTCAAACACACACTCTCTCTCCTTCCTTCTTTCTGACTCCTATTCTGAGGCTCAAAGCATGTAGAACATTTTACAAGCAAACTGATACCCAGGTATGTCTGCTACCAGGTTGTCTGGGCTTTTGATCAAGTACAAGGGCTGCCAAGAAGGAAAGAAAGAAAGAAAAAAAAAACAGCTGGCAAGCAGTACTGAAACCCTACCAGTCTGCGGTTGGATTGTTAGCTTTCTTTATTCCACCTCTCTTCATTATAATCTTAAAGAGACAGTTCAGCCAAATTTAAATCAGTTACTCACCTGCATCTTCAGTCAAACCCAGATGAATATTTTATCGCAAGATCTTTATACTCTTCTTAGCCATTTGATGACAGTGAATGATGAGAAGTGGCTGTCAAGCTTTGAAAATAGCTAAATAAAACAAAATATGAGATTATATTATTATACACCTAGCCGTTAATTTATTATATTATCTTATGTACTTTGAAAATATTTAACATTGAGTACATTTACATGGACACCAATAATCCAATTTTAATTTGATTAAGACAAAACTTTGGTGAAGAGTCTACCATTTTAACTGCCATTTTTGATTAATTTAATCTGATTAAGGTCATAATTGAACTAAACAGGAATCGAATTAAGACATGTGGAGTATGCCAATTTAAGTCGCATTATTGAGTGCAGTACAGACATGTAAACACCGCAATCAAACAATTACCATCGTGTAGGATTTTTGCCGCATTTTGTGACAGGATAATCTATCCAGACAGCTATTTGACACTATTCTTTGCACCTACTGAGTCAATAATAGAACACAGACACACAGTTTTTTTTAGACCACAGTTTTTTTTCTCTTAGTTGTCGTGCAGTATCAAATTCCATTAAAACAACACCCAGTTCATATTCGCACCCAATATCTCGTTTGTCATATAGGGGGCATGTAGGAATTGTTCCTGAATGAAAGTGAAAGTGAAAAACTACAGTTTAAGTCGACAAATTAAAAATGAAACACCCGAAATTACATGAAACTCTGGAGGAAATGTGGATAGCATGATGACACAAAGACGTTAATGGAATTATTTGTTATAACTAGGGTTTGGTATCGTTTGGGTTTTTTCGATACCGGTGCTAAATTGATAGTTTTAAAACGATACCGGTGGCAAAACGGTGCCTGAACCGATACTTTTTAGTCACAAAATTATGGTGGATGGTGGAAAAATCTTTTATCACATCATTTTATTTTATTTATCACATACTTTTGGGAGGCACATTTTAACATCCATCACAAAATACTTTAAAAATTAATCAAAGTCTTTTTTTTCATGCTTCACTCAGCAGTCTTCATAAACAAGTTAATTAAACAACTTAGACTCAAAATAATCTTCCTTGTTCATTTATTTGACAAGTAACGTTGTACTGGTGTAGGATAACACATTTAATTTTCAAGTACAGCAAGGCACATGGTTGTACCTGTAAACTTTAACAGATAGGGCTGCAGTTGAAGTCAATTTATTTTGCCCTCCTATTTATTTAAAATAATGTTTCTGAAAATTTTCAGTGTTTCCTAAAAAAATAATTATTCTAGAGTCATGATAAGTCGTATTTCTTATTGTTTATTTTGTGAATAAAAGCAGTTTTTTAATTTAAACAAAATGAAGGTCAATTTTATTAGACTCCTTAAGAAATATTTACTGTATTTTTTTGATATACACAACAAATCAGTTACAAAATAATTTAACTAATGATTTTAACTTTCATAGTTAACTGATTAAGTCTTTAAATGATCTGAATAAAAGACAATAAAATATTTAAAAGGACTTTGTCTGAATACAACTTTGTCTGAAATTTCAAACCACACTGAACTGAGCTAAACTGAACTGAATTTAAACACTAAAAACTGAACTAACCTGATCCAATTACTATGACCATTTATGTGAAGCTGCTTTGACACAATCTACATTATAAAAGCGCTATACAAATAAAGCTGAATTGAATTGAACTGTCTTGCAAAATAACTAGTAAAATGTTATGCACTAACTGTCACTATGGGTAGTAGATAAAGTAGATATTAGATAGTAGTGAGTTAAACTTGTTTAAAAATGTGTTGTAAATAAATTATGTAATGAAGATAGAAATCAAAAATGAATGAAGGCAAAACTAAACGAGTTGAATATGACTTACATGAGCGTGACTGAAAACTACATTTGATCAATGTGTTACATCTGTTCTACAGTACTTGCCAACTGTTTGTTAATTCAATACTGCATTTCCTAACATAAAACTATGTACAATAGATTTCTGATTAATAATGGTCTCTGCATAGCCAAAGACTTCCTATATTAAAAGTGTTAAAATCGCAATTGAAAACAGAAGTCTAATATCATCAACGGTAGACATTTTGATAGTGTTTAATAACATGAACATGACTGAAGTTTAATCTTTTTATCACCTGTGTCAATTTGGGCACCAACTTCTGAGGAATGCGGGGAACTGATGCGTGCAGCACCATCACAGAAAGAGCAAGTGCCGTGAAAGCAGAGGGAGCGATTGCACGTGACACCTAGAGCAAGCGAGAGGCATTCCTTTCAGTAGTATCTGGATGCAGCCTTTATGAGGCAAGCTGAGATAAGGTTAGGGGTGGGGTTAGGTGAGCTTATTAAAAAGCATTGGATGCAGCTCAGATTGCACTGCACCAGGTCTGCATCCAGACCCCTCTCATTCCTTTGCCTAGGAGCCCTCAAATGTGTCATTAAGACATCTTTCCCTCTTACACACAACTTTTGTAAAGCACTTTTGATGAACACGATCATGCGTGTTGGTCTGAAGACTGTCGCTCTCGCTCACCGAAAACCAGGCTGAATGCGCTGTACTGCGCGCGTTGCTTGTGTTTGTTCCCTGTGATTTACAGGAGCCATGTTTGTATAATAACATGTATACACATGTCCAAACATGTTTACACGTCCACAAAACATTTTTTTACAAATAAACAGGGATTAAAGGATCTGTTCCAACTGTCTGTGATTTATAAAAGTTTTGTAAGTTTAAAACTTTTTTAAAACAAAGCATGTTTGTAATAAAGCTGTAAAATCACTTTGCAATTCTTAGCTGCTAAAATCACCACGTAACGGTGTCAAAAAAACGTTAAAATGTGTGTACTGCAAACGGCATTTGTGTGAGACTCATCATTTCAGAAAGGCTTGAATAAACTCCACCACAAATACATGAAATAAACTTGCTTGGTATTTTTGACTTATTCTGAGTCTGTCTCTATCACTGACTGCTGTTTATCTGACATAACCCATGATGAGAAGCAGATGTGCACATGAAAACGGTGGGTGCTCATTTGCATTTAAAGCCACAGGCTACAAAAACAGCTACACTGTACTCAGACACCAAAATGGGCAGATTCTTAAGGCTATAATAAACAATCTGATGGGTATTTTCAGCTGAAACTTTACAGAAACTAATGGCTTACCTTACATCTTGTAAAAGCGGTAAAATAGGTGCCCTTTAAAATTTATACAGTATCAGATTATAATTCCATGATACTGAACATAATTATTATGTTCAAATATTGCAGTGTTTACATGCTATTTCCACCAGGATACAAAAATGTTTTTAAAAATGAAGCCTATGTGATGTAATGTGCTAACCCTCCTTATTTAGCATGTAACTAAGACTTTGTTCTCTCTTTGACCTCTGACCTTTAGAGAAACAGCTAGAGGTCTATCAAAGCATTGCTGACCTGACAGTGAAGGCCAAAGATCAGGCTGTGTTCAAATGTGAGGTTTCTGATGAGAATGTGAAAGGCATCTGGTACAAAAATGGAGTGGAGGTGAAACCAGATGCCAGAACTCTTATCACACACATCGGCAGGTGAGGGCATGACTGTGTGTGGGCTATACAGTATGTAGTCTAATGTTAATGTATACACACTCATCCATCAATTAAATCATTTTACAGTAGCCTAAATATTTTTTTATTTAATTACTGAATTAAATTTACGAACATACACATATATTACCTGTATGATCGTGTAGAAAATGCATTTACCTGTTATGTAACAAGTTGTTTACAAACACATAAAAAGTGTCAACCTTAATGAAGGCCTCAAATTATGTAGGTAAATATCAACTTCCCCCAGCCATATTTGTAGTTTACTATGCTGTAAAATGTCAAGTATTAATTTTACCATTGGTTTTTATTTTGGTTACAACCCCAAACAATTCACATGATGTACAATAGAAATTAATTATAATGCAAACCGATTCAAAAACAATGGTCCACACAAATTCTGAACTAAAAACAGAGGCTATCAAAAATATAGCAATATATGGGGGTCCATCTTAATCAATAAACAGTCCACAGGCATTACAATATAGTAGTCAATATTTGAAGTGGATCATTAACCTGTATCAAAGTTGCCCTAAACTATTGAACAACACTCATTTTTGTCCTAGGAAAATTTTGCAAAACTTTTTTGATTCACTTCGAATGTTGTCTACTAGAGACGTTATTATAGATGTATGGATGTTTGTAATTATTGTAATGTCCAAGACGCCAGAGTTTTGATATAGCTGCTTATGTTTAAATAGTAAAATACTCTTATATATGCATATTTAGGATTCACAAGCTCACCATTGATGATGTGAAACCAGAAGATGAGGGTGACTACACCTTTGTTCCTGAAGGCTTTGCGTTCAATCTCTCCGCCAAGCTCAACTTTTTAGGTACTATTTATTATTACTAAATAAATGTAACTTTGTATTTTTGTGGCACTGTTCATTAAAAAATATATATCTTTTACTTTACAGAGGTGAAGATTGACTTTGTTCCTCGCCAAGGTAACAACAACAAAAACAAAAACAGCATTAATCCAATTTATTTATTAGTGTATTTGTAGAAACTACATCAAATGATTTAAAAAGAAAAACTGTGAAGAGGGTAACACATTGTTGGAGTGGTTGAAAACACTTGAGCATTGTCTTAATAGTATTTTTGCTTACTTTAAGATCCTCCCAAGATTCATCTGGACTGCATGGGCCGCACTGCTGAGTCCACAATCTTGGTTGTGGCTGGAAACAAACTGCGACTAGATGTACCAATTACAGGAGATCCTGCCCCCACTGTGATTTGGACAAAAGGAGAAAAGGTAGGAGTTAAGCATTAAATTTGTTCTAATATTGATTTCTATTAAATCCCTGTCTAAGAGAATCGGTCTAGACCAAATTTCCCAAAAGAAAGGTAATCCTAAGTAGATCATAGAAAACATAACAGTCTGTTGGATATACTTGCTTTTGGGAAAACCCAGCCCTGGTCATTTACAGTAGATGTAAACCTGTGCTAGACACTTTTAGAATGTTGATACATTATAAATAATTGTTCATTCAGTTTGTGGTGTACTGTATGCTTGCACTGTAATACTGTGCCATGTTGTCCTGCAAATGTAACAGGAGATCCAGCATCTGGGCTTCAGTAGCCTTGACAGGTAGGTACTATAACATCTCCCAACCATAACCAGAAAGTCTTGTTGAGGCTCACTGGGACTGGGAGGTTTGTGCTGAGATGGGAGATTGAGGATGTACTCACACTAGACCATCTGAACCGTGTCCGAGCACATTTAACCCACAAAGTCTGATCTGTCATTTGACTAGTCAGGCCTGTATCCAGGGGTGTTTGGGGTGGTTCGAAAGACCCACCCTTCACTGACAAAGGTCCAGAATTTGTCCCATACAGGAGCTGATTTTTCTTATTTTGACTGCTATTACATCATAAATTGTGAAAATAACTCATTAAAGGAGACCTTAAAACTGAGAAAAAGTTGATGTAAGTGAAGTCATCTACTTCACTACTGGCCGACTGTATTGTTGTTAAATAGCTAAATCATTTCACAAGTAACTTTTATTCTAAATCTTTGGTCCTTATTCTTGAAAGAAAACAATAAAACAATGTGAAGCACCAAAAGTTAATTTCGAAGCGTAGAAAAGATATTTTTAATCCTAATATTAGGCTATGTTTTTATTCATGAATTTAGAAATGTAATTTTTACAAGAGAGGCTTGAAAAATCAGGAAGCTCTAAATTGTTATTATTTTTATTATTATTATTATGTTTAATTATTTTATTATTCAAGTGGCCATAGTAAAGTTAGTAAAGACAGTAAAGTTAAATGTGCTAGACAGTTAGTTTTCTGCCTAATATATCACAATTTACTTTGCCTTAATATGCAGTTTTTAATTTAAAGCCTTAACAGATTTATTTTTTCCCTAATGATATTTGTATTTTAAAAAAATAATAATATATATATATAAAATATTTATTTATTCAAAATCTTTGGGAAATGTTTTGGTACATTAAAAAGTGTGATTATGATGACCATCTGACAAGCTAGTAGTGCTTATAATGTTGCTAAAATGCAGTATTTAAACCTCCTAGTTTTTATTGAAAATAAGGCAAATAACTGCAATAAGGTCCACTTTTTGAGAAAAAATAACCACCCCTTTCACCAGGCTTGCTATGGGTCTGCTACAGTGCAATTAACTTCTGTTAATCCTTGGATTGAACATATTTCAATGAATTTCATTCATTTAAGTATACTTAGGTCTACTACGTGTCTGTTTCTTACATTATTGATGACTAGTAATTGTAGATTGTGAATGGACTCTTTTCACAAGACTGCTAAGACTCGTTTTATGACTCGTCATCAGCATCCTAAATCCTTGAAAGTTTTTAATACTAACATTCTATTAAAAACATATGAACATTTATATGTATTAATGTATGTATTATATCAGTGGTTCTCAAACTTTTTTCACCAAGTACCACGTCAAAAAAGAATTGTCTCTCCAAGTACCACCATAATAACCAGTATTGAAGTGCAGTAGCATAGTAGACCTAAATAGGCAGCTACAGCTCTGCACAGTTCAAAAACGTGGCAGATTAATTCTTCTTACTAAGAATATTTATTATTGTCAGCCACTTTAAATATTATAAATAGTTTGAACATTAACACTGCACTGTGCTTACAGGTAAAAAAAGAAATAATAATGTCAACGTTTAAATTAAAATGTGTTAATTTAAGGTTAATTAAAAATGACACTGTTCTTAAAAAGTTAAAAGAAAACTGCTGTATTTAAATGCAAAGTATTTTCATATAGTAGCCTATTTATCAAAACCTGGAAATGTTCCTTGGACCTCGTAAATATATGCTAAATGTCATCATATCCATGTAAAATCTTTTTGATATTTTTTAATATACAAACAATTCATATATACATGCAACATAAAGCTTTTAAATCTAAACATTAACTTGTATTTTAAATATACAAATTAAATTTACATACTTAAATTAGAATTCAGATCTGCTTACTGTGTGTTAGAGTATAGGCTTTGTGTGTCAGAAAAGCAATTGATCAAACTATACCTCTCAACATAGGGATATAAAAATTCAGGATCTGCCCCAACAACTTATACAAATATGGGGAGGAAATTAGCTTCAAATGATAGAATAGATAACAAACATTAGAAAATTGAAAATAAAATAAAATAAAAGGTTTAGTCTATTAAAATCAATTTACTGATCACATCGGCGTTATCGTTTGCATCAAAGGGTTCAAAGTGTGCTAATTTTTTACTTTAATTATTCAGCAATTCCTCCACATATCACTTGAAGGAAGCCTGCGTACCACTAGTGCTAGTACATGAACCACAGTTTGAGAACCACTGTATTATATAAATACTGCTTATGCATGGTGTTTTTAATGAAGAGTGTATGGGCAGGACTTTAAATTTAACGTTGTTCTCTCTTCTGGCTATCGTCACACACTATTTTTTCCACTTTTTCTAAAAGTTTTGATAATGCCATCAAGAATTTCTTTTATTATTTCAGCAAATAGGATTGTAAAAAACTATTTGTTTTACTCTCCCTTTCTACCTTTCAACCCGGAAATGTAAAAAGGGTCCAATAAGGCTGCTAAGTACTTCATCAACGTTAGCTGCTCCTGTAATAATTTCCTTAATATGTTTGGTACAATTAAGTAAAAATCGCTGCAAGGAATAAGTGATTAGGCATCCCTTAAATGAAAGTGCTTTTCTTCATGTTTTCATTGATACCAAAATCTTGTGTGGAAAATGATTTTAAGCACGCTCCAGAACATTAAAGCGCAACGACAGTGTAGTACACTGAGGTTGTGGGAATGGTACTAGAGCCCGGTACAAGGTTACGGTGCCTAATGTGATTACAGCTTTAACCTCTGACCTGACTGCCACGGCTTCACGGCTTCTGCTCTGCTCATGTAGGATAGCTCTAAGGAGGGAGAGTCGCATCCTGACCCGAAAAACACATGGACAATGAAGAATGGTGAAGTGAGTGTGAGCCTTAACAATCCCTAGCTGCTTGTACAATCAGTGCACACGATCAAATGCTTCTTGCTTTGGCTGTGATGTTGGATCTGCTGTTATTGACCCATGTTGCATGATGATGCAGACTTGATCGATTTAATCCAGTGGGGTGCTCTATGGTAACTTACAGTATGTTTGATGCTGTATTATAGCCAATATCTCAATATATATATAGTCAATATTTAATATGAAATTGATTTTAAGGTCTTTTTTTGTTAAGTCAAATTGTAAACATTTTTAAAGCATCTTTAAATATGGTTTGACTATCTCTGGGTGAAACAGAAACAAGCTGCTCAAATATTAACATAAGCATCACTTTGACACACAAATCCTCACACTTGTGAAATCATGATGCTGCTATTTAAATGCCTCACGTACACTACACACAACTCTGTACACTGTTGTGTCTACAAAGGTGAGTGTGTCTTTCATGAAGTATGAAGTAAGCAAGGTAAGCAAGCACCATCCAATTATAGGAACTACTTATCAGGTAATGTATGATATCTGGTATTTCAGATATCTGAAGTATCTACGTGCATTAAATATATAATTTGCAATTTTATAAATATTATATTGCATCCTTATAGATCTTAAATGCCTAGTTGTAATCATTAGGAGCCTGCGACTGAACCAGATTGATGTGCAAACCACTGTTATTTTACCATGTGGTTGTTGATGGGCTGATCCAGGTGCTGACAGACTCAGATGGGCGTGTCCATGTGGAGAGTACCAAAGGCCATTGCATTTTTACCATTGAGGGGGCGGAGCGTCAGGATGAAGGCGTGTACTCTGTCATTGTACGCAATCCAGCTGGAGAGGATACAGCTGACATTAATGTCAAAGTTGTTGGTAAGCTTTTCAAAACCCCCTCGTCACTTCCCAGCTGTTCCTTGGGAGGCTGAAGTTAGGGCTTAATCACATTATGGGCCATGCTGTAATATCCTGTTGTGTACTGAATGAGATCTTTGGTTACGCTTTAGATATTCTGTTGACTTTATGAACAACTTTGTAATTACATGTTACCTGACTGTCATTAGAAAATTAGTAGACTATTAGGTTAGGGTTGGAAGAAATGTTTTTAGATGCTATTAAGCACACAGTTAACTAATACGTAAACCGTTGCTAGTTTTCATGTAGTTGCAAAATTACAGGTTTTAAACAGATTGGATGCTATCAAAATAAAGTGTTTAGAGCAGGGTGCCCAAACGTTTTCATATAAAGGGCCAAAAACTGTGTATCATTGATGGCCATTGGCCAAAGATAAATATACCAAACTATTTTACTTTAAAGTAGCAATGGGTTATTCCCTAATTTATTTCATGGTATTAAAAAATAAAGTGACAACATTACTTTTAATCATATTAACTAATGCAGGTTTTAAATTATAATTGCAATAAAAACGTAAGCAATCACATTTATAACCCATTGGAGTTCAGTGCTGAATACACTAGTCAAGCTGAACCTGCTTTTGCCTTGATTTGCTCAACAAAGTCCTTCATCCATTGGGTGACAGTATGTACATTTTAAACTAAATCTGATTGACACTATTTAAATGATTAATTTCAGTTAGCCTTTTTATAGCTTTACAATAAAAGAAACAAATTAAAGGTCACAATAAATTAGAAATAATTCTCTAATCCATCTCCATCATTCTCCCTATCTTAGGTGGGATGGTGGGCCAAATCAAAGGTTACCATGGGCCAACTTTGACCCACGGGCCCTAATTTGGGCATTTCTGGTTCAAAGTTGTTTTCATGATTGCTGCCACACTATTAAGATACTAAAATATATGTTAAAAGACCAAAACCTGAACTGTACAGATCTCTTTATTAACCCTTTAATAAGCACGCTGTGTGTATTACCCTTATGAGATTTGCAGTACCCTGAGAAATATAGCGGAGAGCTGACATTTAGGAGAAAAAATGCCTTCGCTGTGGCTCTGCCAGACTTCCATTGTCCCTTATGTAGAAAATTGTGTGATTGAGCTTTTAATGTTTTACAGATGTGCCAGACCCACCTGAAGCCCCCCGAATCTTGAGTGTTGGTGAAGATTCTTGCGTTGTCCAATGGGATGCGCCTCGCTTTGATGGTGGTCAGCCAGTCATAGGTGACTTTCCCATTACTACACAGATAGATAGTTCATATTAGATAAGTACACTGTAAAACAAAAAAGTCAACCTTATCAAATGAAATGAGTGTACTTAACTCAAAATCTACTGGACATTAATTCTACTCATTTGAAAAGAGTTTTGAACTCAGTGTTGAAGGTAATGAGTTAACTTAATATCTCATTACTTCAGCTTAAATGGAGTAAGTTCACAGTACTCATGTAGATTAGTTTTTTTAACTCTGGTTTGTAGAAGTTGGTTTCCTCAAATGGTTTGCGCTGCCTTAACCTATTGGGTTTTACAGGACTCAGTTGGTTTGAGTTCTCTTCATTTATTGGGTTTCACTGCGCTCAAAATGCTTTATTTACTCAAATGGATTAAGCTCACAGTACACATTAGGATTAGTTTTTGAACTTAAATGGTTTGTTGCAATAGATTTCCTTAAATGGTTTGAGTTACCTTAACTTTTTTGGGTTTTACAGTGTAATATTGTTGGTGACATCTCATTTTCTTATAAGAACTAAATAACAATTACTTTTCTTGACATACTTTCTGCCATTAAGTAACCTGTTAAACCTACCTATTAGCAAACAATAAAACCTAATGAAAATTACCAAAAAATCTTGCTGAAAAAAGTCCCTTGCTGTAAATGTATTTTCTAACTATATAGAAAATGCATGATGACAACAGTGTGGATTTAATGTCTTTTCAGGTTATGTCCTGGAAAGAAAGAAGAAAAAGAGTTATAGATGGATGAGACTCAATTTTGATCCTTATAAGGAGACCACATTTGAGGCCAAGAAAATGATTGAGGGTGTGCCCTACGAGATGCGTGTTTATGCAGTGAATGCCATTGGCATGTCCCGCCCCAGTGCCGCCTCCCAACCATTTGTGCCTGTTGGTGAGTTTGCTTCGATTTATGACTTTACCTATGTATTTAGGGATTCATTAGTATTCCTTTCCATTTTTAGCCTCTGTTACAGATATCCACATTTAATATGTAATGGCTAAAAAAGAAGTTTTGATTTGCTGATTACCAATTATCTGAAATCTCACCTCAAAATTTTAATTTGTCATTATTCTTTCATCAGTGGAATGTCAGATGTGTTGGAGAATATTGGTAGCCAAACATCTGTGGTTTTCGTTGACGTTGTATTTTTGTCCTGGCAAATTGTGTGCTAGTCTAAAAAGGTCCCTTTCAGTGTAATCAATAGACGTCTTATTGATGTTCTTCCATCCATCTGCTCATCTTTCACCTAATCTTCATGCAAGCTGTGTTGAATGCATTGACATCCATGTAGACTGTTGTCTGTTACAAGACAGCTGATTAGGAAACTATCCTTGGCATCCTCTATAAATAATGGCATGTTAACACTGTGCAAAGCTGTATCTACGGCACTGTCGAAAGAGAGGAGGGAGCAGGACACTGCACTTCCTTTGTTGCTTGTCCTCTCACCGTCACTGCGGCCAGCGGAGAAGACCACAGCAGGTGTAACAGAGCAGACAAACACATTTCAGGAACCTCTACTTAGACAGCAAACCGGACCGAAAGTGATCCAGATGCAAAATGACCAAACCGATGCTCCCCAAGACTGCTGAGAAGAAGCCGGCTGAAGCAGCGCCGGCTGAGGCAGTGCCCGATGTCCCAGAAGAAACCAAAGAGCCAGAAGCACCACCTCCAGAAGAACCTGCACAAGAGGCCAGTGCTGAAGCTCCTGCACCGCCAGCCGAGGAGGAGGCTGCTCCTGCTCCTCCTGAAAATGGAGTTTGTCCAGCAGAAGCAGCACCAACGGGAGAGGAGGGGGCACCACCAGCTGAAGCGCCCCCAGAGGAAACTGCCCCACCACCAGAGCCAGAACCACAGCCAGCACCAGAGCCTGAACCTGTTGGCAGTAGGCGTCCTTTTATAAAAAAAATTTGTGGAGCTTATTAATGCAGCGATTTTAACCATCTTCTGTCTTTTAATGGCTTTTCCGATGCACCATTAAATATTTCAAAGAACCACTTTCTAAGGCATGAAAGTTCTGTCCACATTTAATCTGTGGCCACAGTATTTAACTTGGGCTAAGGTGAGATTAAAACTGTTGTTTTGCTGTATTGAGCCTCTAGGATTTTACTATTTAGGAATTACAATGCAGTTATGTGCATGAATGGTTGAAAGAGATTTGGGTTTTGCAAGCAAACAGGTCCATTGTCAGTAGTGTATCAATATATGAATAACAGCTCATACAATGTCACTTTAAAACCAAGCAGCTTTTTATTGGTTGAAAAGTAAATTAGTCTGAAAAATGGGTCTGTAAACTCTGAAATCTACACTGGGATGTGCTTTAAAATTAACAGACAATTTGCAGAACAACTATACATTCCTAAACCTTATCATTTTACTGTATGTATTAGTCTTAGAAAATATTTAAAGTGAGAAACAATTAAAACATTAGGGTCAGGGATCAGTTTTAAACTCCAAGGAACTTGCTAAGATATGAATAGATGTTCTTGGATTTGCTGCAAGTTCACAGTCTTCATAAATACAGCTTGACCTGGGCATGTCATTGCTGCTTAATTATGGCACAAACATTTCTGACTCAAGCATGCTTGCAAATCACAACAGACAGCATGAATATCTTCAGGAGGCACTTATCACCACAGACCTAAGCTAAACTTGGACTCATGCAAGCAATGTTGTCTATTCTTGACATTACACAAGGGTAGTCTCAAAGGTAAGAGTAGATGGACTTCAATACAACTGAGGTTGCTTCTATAGTTTCCATGGCTGCTTGGTTTGGTGGCAACACAATTGTACAATGGGACTTTAATGGAGACCGCAGCGACAAGTCCAAGTAAATCCAGCCATGGTGTAAAAAGTTGTCAGTACTATCTCTGTCTTGTATGGCTGGGTAACAGTAAATAATACAGTACCCAAAATACATCATGCACAAAGGCTTTCCTTGCTATCAAATGGCAATGCTAATCTTTAGTAGAGTATGATTTCAGAGTGGCTATGTGCAAAAAATGCTAACCAGTTTATTGGCTAAAGTGATAAAGTCTGAATGTGTGTTGGCTGACATTAATCCAACATTTACATGTTGTATTTAGTTTACTGGGTTATAGAAAGTTACTTAAAACTGTATAATAGGACAACATGTCATTCTTTTAAATTTCTGCCATCAGCTCCTACCAGCGAGCCTATTGGCCTGTGTGTGGATGACATCAGCGATACCACCATCTCTCTGAAATGGAGGACACCAGAGAGGATTGGCTCCGCTGAGCTTGAAGGTTATGGTGTTGAGTACTGCAAGGAAGGCTGTAAGTTAAAGTAAAAATAAACCACATTGTCCCATACCTAACATGCTGGGTTGTTTCAAAGCAAGGTTAGGCAAAATATGAACAAACTTTCATTTAATATATTTAATATATTAGGGATGTCCAGATCGTGTTTTTTTGCCCCCGAGTGCGAGTCATTTGATTTTGAGTATCTACCAAGTATCTACCAATACCGAACTGATACTAACACATACAAAAGAATAAAGAGCGAAGAAACAGATCCAAGATCTTATTTTTTTTATTTAATTCACCTTATTTTAACATTCAACTACTTGAATTGACAGTCAAGAACTTTAGTGCAACATTAAATATATAAAAAATAAAATATCAAAACAAATAGTACCCCAACTTAAAATACCCAGCAGGCAATCCCAAGCGTACATATTCCACAGTTTGCTATGTATTGCAATGTTGTTGTCATCAACTTTATAATACCTCCAGATTGCAGAAATACTCTCGCTTTCCGCTTCAAGCTGCTTTCTCTGCTCTACTTTGCCAGCATTTAACCAATAGTGTCTCTGCGACAAAGTGATGTCATGCCGTATACATACATATACTGTATATATACTGCATACATATATATTTGAGTCCTGATCGGGAGGTAACATGCAGTTTAGATTGAATCTGAAACCGTGTGATTGGGCCTGATTTCCGATCATGTGATCGGATCTGGACATCCTTATAATATATATTTATAATTTTACTATTTTATCCAACTTTGGGCTGAAACAACACCACATTGTAAGCAGCAGTGTGAATTGGTTTGAATGTTTTTCAAGTATGGAAGAGTCTAAAAATTCACTAAATATGACTTGCAGATCAAGCTCAGCTGTATTCTATAACAACCAATATTTCTTATGTAATTTATGATGTTTATCCAGAGATTCCTTACTGTTCAACTTCAACTGTTTATCTTTACAAAGGCAGCATTTAAATGAGAAAACAAATCTTTTTAAAAGCATAGCATACACAACTTTTTTTATTTTGTCATCAATTACTCACCATTTACATGTTGAGTTTCTTTATTCTGTTGAAAAAGAAGATATTTTGTAAAATGTTGCAAACCTGTAAATATTACGTCATTAATTAATCTTACATCATACCCGTTTTGTAACTGGATCATACCCAAACTCGAATATATGGAATAGATCCTTCGTGTTCTGTGTCTGAAGCCAGTGTTTCACTGTTTCAGCTGATGAATGGATCCCCGCATTTTCGGGTCTCACAGAAAGGACCTCTGTGATCATCCGTGACCTGCCAACTGGAGAGAAGATGCAGTTCCGCGTGAGGGCATATAATATGGCAGGCCCGAGCGCTCCAGCCACACTGCAACAAGCAGTCACTATCCGTGAAATCATGCGTGAGTTACACAGACAATGACCTTAAAATGTAAGGCTTACAGAATCATTAAAAGGCAATTTCCCTATTCTATAAAATTCCATACACAATAATGCACCATGTTTACTCTATATATTATTATGTTGTGTTACCTCATTGATAATTTGATTTGAGTGAATACTGCAGCACATTATTATTCCAGCATTGGGATGGAAATGGTAAAATGGTGCAGGATTATCGTGTGAATCACTCATGTTCTCTTATTGCAGAGCGGCCCAAAATCTGGCTCCCCCGTAACCTGCGTCAGACACTCATCAAGAAAGTCGGAGAAACCATTAACCTGGTAATCCCTTTCCAGGTGAGAAGTCATCTTTCAGATTGTGTTTTTACAAGCACACTCCTGACAAAATACAGAGCGCTGCAGAATGTGTGAATAATCCATTTGAGCCTCTGATAAATGAAAACCATTTGGACTCATTTCCTGTCAGACGTCCTGTGAGTGATATGGAAGATCCAGCAAAGTTGTGCATTGCCGTATTGGGCAGTGTCGTTTGTCACAGTATGTAACATTGGCTGGCCTCTTTTCATGCAGACTTTGACCTCCAACAGTTTCCATCAGCCAGAGAGTTAGTGTTTAGCTAGACTGTAACTTGTCCACTTGTTTGCTTACAGAACCCAGTTTGTGAAACATATATCTTCGTCCTCTTGCTCTATAAATACACTGAACTCTATGGCTGAAATTGAATGAGGGAGGCTGTGTACAGATGGTAGTCAGTGACATGAGTTTGAACACCACATTAGGAAACTCTGCGCTCTCTCTCTTAATTTTTCTATCTATTTACCTGTCTGTTACTCATTCATCTACCATACTGTCTATCTATTCATACATCCATCAATCTGCCTGTCTCTCCATCCACCACAGACCTGTCTATCTGTTTATTTATCCATAAACTTGACAGTCTGTCTGTCCATCCATTCACTCATCCATCCATTTGCCCATCCATCTATCCATACATCTATGCACATTTCATTCTATCCATTGAATTAACTGTTATCAATCCATCCATTTAACCATCCATACACGACCTTTCTGCCTATCCATTCATCCATCATCTATCCATTTAACCATCCATACACGATCTGTCTGCCTATCCATTCATCCATCATCTATCCATTTAACCATCCATACACGACCTGTCTGCCTATCCATTCATCCATCATCTATCCATTTAACCATCCATACACGACCTGTCTGCCTATCCATTCATCCATCATCTATCCATTTAACCATCCATACACGACCTGTCTGCCTATCCATTCATCCATCCATCCTTCTAACCATCCATACACAACCTGTCTGCCTATCCATTCATCCATCTTTCATCCATTTAACCATCCATACAAGACCTGTCTGCCTATCCATCCATCCATTCATCCATCCATCCATCCATCCATCCATCAGTCTAACCATCCATACACGACCTGTCTGCCTATCCATTCATCCATCATCTATCCATTTAACCATCCATACACGATCTGTCTGCCTACCCATCCATCCATCCATCCATCCATCCATCAGTCTAACCATCCATACACAACCTGTCTGCCTATCCATTCATCCATCTTTCATCCATTTAACCATCCATACAAGACCTGTCTGCCTATCCATCCATCCATCCATCCATCCATCAGTCTAACCATCCATACACAACCTGTCTGCCTATCCATTCATCCATCCAACCATCAATCTAATCATCCATACACAACCTGTCTGCCTATCCATCCATCCATCCATCCATCTATCAATCTAACCATCTCTACACAACCTGTCTGCCTATCCATCCATCCATCCATCCATCCATCAATCTAAACATCTCTACACAACCTGTCTGCCTATTTATTTATCCATCCAACCATCAATCTAATCATCCATACACAACCTGTCTGCCTATCCATCCATCCATCAATCTAACCATCTCTACACAACCTGTCTGCCTATCCATTTATCCATCCAACTATCAATCTAATCATCCATACTCAACCTGTCTGCCTATCCATCCATCCATCCATCCATCCATCTATCCATCCATCCATCCATCCATCAATCTAACCATCTCTACACAACCTGTCTGCCTATCCATTCATCCATCCATCCAACCATCTCTACACAACCTGTCTGCCTATCCATTCATCCATCTAACCATCCATCCATCCATCCATCCATTTAATCAATCCATACATATCTGCCTAGCAATTAATCCATTCATTTAAACATTCATGCACAACCTTTCTGCCTATCCATTCATCAATATTTGGCATAACAAAAGTGTTTCTTTTCATTAATGTAGTCAGCAATTTATTTTTTTAGGGTAAACCCCGACCTCAGGTATCCTGGACGAAAAACGATGAGCCTCTGGATCCTAAATCAGTCAGTATACGGAACAGTGACACTGATACCATCCTCTTCATCAGGAGATCTGAGAGAAAGGATTCTGGGAAATATGATGTTCAAGTGCAAATTGAAAATGTGGAGGACAAAGCCAGTGTGAATATACAGATTGTTGGTGAGTTCCTAGGAATTGTTTAATAGCATATGGTGTCATTCAAACAATAAAAATGCATTTTGCTCTTTTTCAATCTCAGATGTGCCAGGTCCACCCCAAAATTTAAAGGTGATGGATGTTTGGGGCTTCAATGTTGCCCTGGAGTGGAAACCACCTAAGGATAATGGGAACTGTGACATCACAGGCTACAACATCCAGAAGGCTGACAAGAAAACCATGGTAAACCCAAACCTTTGTTTTCTTTGGCATATAGTTATACATACATACATACAGTGAAGTGGAAAATTGTCTTATGTGTTTAGTAAGTTTGCTATACTGCTCACAAACCACATATTATACACTTTTATTGAGGATGTGAAATTGTGTGCCAGCAGGGGGCTAGCTGCAACAAACCCCACCCCCAACCAATTTTTTTCCAGAGATGATTTCTGTCATGTTAGACATTTATTGTCACACTGATTTCTTCTCGATTGATATCAGGTTTTCTGAGTAAATTAGTCACAACAACTTCCTATCTATCTAAGAGCTCTCTTGTGACTTCCTATTATCTTCTAAAAGAGACCGAAACTTAATCTTTTAACAGCTGTACTAACTGACCTAGGGAATTTGAGGGATCACCAAAGTTTTCCCCACCAAGTCAATGTGTAAATAAATGTTATTGACTAGCAAGTTTAATGTTAACCTAAAAGCTTAATGTTAGAACAAACCAGGTGATCAATAGAGTTTGGGATTATATTTGGGATTCCTTTGTATAATTAGCACTTCTTGCATATATTACCTCTTCTTGTTTAATCACTGAATGCCTACTCAATTGTAGGTCACTTTGGACAAAAGTGTCTGCTAAATGTACATATAAATGATAAGATATGTCTTTATAAACCATGTCAACATTGTAACACCCAGGTCATACCCATGATTTGCGTTCTTGTGAATCGCCCAAACCAGTACACTAACAAGTTATTGTGGTATTAGCCAAAAGTTGAGCGTCTTGCTGAAAATGTTCTCCCCTTCTGGCCTCATTATGTACTGGCTGATTCTGTCTAATTTACTGTCGCTGACTATTTATTTAAATCTAGCGGGCTTGGTGTTTTGTATTGCCTCTGGCTTGCTTGGCTTGAGACTAGCAGAGCTGTACATCGATTAAGTTGCTCTTCAGTGTTTCTCCTTTAAGCAGTGACATTTACATTACACTAAACTGAACTTTAACTGTGACAACTGAACTGAAGTTAAGCTGCTTTGACACAATTTAAATTGTAAAAAGCACAATAGGAATATAGATGAATTGAATTGTTGCAGATCAGATGCAGGTACTCATGATTCTTTCAGACCAATCAATGATCTCCAGTGGTGTAAATAACAAATTACAAACACTCAAATTTCTGTAATTTACTAAGTATTTTAAAAAATGTGTGCTTTTACTTTCCGTGAAGCACATTTTTAGGGCTATATCTGGATTTTTACACCACTATTTTCCATCAAACTGCAGTCACTACTTTATATGTTCTTGTCTATGGGGATTGGCTAAAGTAGAACAATCAGTCCTGTGATCCAATGAAATTGCACATAGAAACTAAATCGCATCATCCAGAACAATCTCAAGACATGGGCGCTTAATAAATGCAGCAAACCATTTGGAAGCATTAAAAGTGTCCAAGAACATGTCCTAAATCGTCACACGCAATGACCCAGACACTGTTTAGACTGGATGACTGTTGTATAATGTCTGAAATAGCCTTAAACAATCACTAAATGCACTAAAGAATTTTACGTTTTCACAAATGTGCACAAATTACATGTAAACACAACAGACTTTCACAGTGCAATACTCACTACTTTTTTAAAAGGGCTACTTTTTACTCATAGTTTGAGTAATATTTCCAACAGATACTTTTACTCTACCTGGACTACATTTACTTGAGTAGGATTTTTTTTTTGTACTCTTTCCACCACTGGTGTTTACACGTCACATTTAACGATACTGCTTGCTTGGACCTTCAAATGAAGTCGTACAAAATAAGTGGCACTGTACACAGTGGCACACTCCCCAAAAGTGAGCCATTCCAAGCCATCCATTGCAGTGGAATAAATAAAGTGGCAATAAATACCAATGTTTAAGTGTGAGGGGATTAGAGATATACTTAAACATTTCTATTTTATACAAGTGCAAACTCATTTGAATTGCTCAGAATTTTTAGTGAGAAAAAGCGCAGACACTGGACAAGGATGAAGCTTTTGTAGTGTGCATGTGCATTCTATCAAGTGGACTGAGTTCAAAGCATACTTTGGGCTTTAGAAAGCACTGCTCCCTATGCCAAACACATTTAATAGTCAAACTCACCGTGAGAATCTGAGATAAAGAGAGAGTTTGCAAGCCTGCCATTGTCTATCTAAAGCAGCTAAGCTTGTGATCACTGTAATTGAGTAATGTATGTACACTATTCATCAGTGGCACAGCATTGCAGGGACACCACGAGTTTATGGGCTCTCTTGTGACATACAGTTGGCCAGTGGCACTGAACACTGGTCCAGGGGAACAGCATCCAGAACATCCAGTGCCCAAAGCTCCAAAATGACCCTTGCCGCGGAGCCCACTAGGGCACCTGTGCCCCCTTCGACGCAGGCATGCTGTAATCTTAGCCCATGGCCTTGCCCTGATTTAAGTGCTGTCATTATAGTGCTCTCTTTACCCCTTTGTACTTTCGAGCCACTAAGGTTAGCAGCTAAATAAAAAGCAGCCGGTTTGGGTTTCACCTCACATTGTTACTAGAGCCAGTCTATTCCTCTCGCTGTGTCCACAGCAGCAGGCAGGAAGACACCGAATTATCAGGTTTCACAGGACAATCTCAATCAGAAACCGGAGATGCTCTGCTGCTAAATATAAGAGCACTTTAGGCTGCAGGCCTCCGGGCCACATTCATGCAGCCCATTTACCTGCTTCTGGATCTACTGCTTCTACAGCCACCGTAATCACACAGCGGCTTAATACATGTGCTAAGCGATCCTGCAACGTTTTCCTCATTGTCTATAACAATAGACAGAATGGTTTTAGAGTGGTATATTCAGACATCTGAGAGCCACATGACAATGTTTCAGATTAGCAAGGATAATTGGTGACATACAGTTGTAGCCACATACTGTTTCACAATGAATGTGTGTGTGCTTTTTTTACATCTAATGATTTAAGTGTGAAGAAAAAAATCTGAGGGAATGTTTTTACTTAAATGCAATTCCTTGATGTTCAGACATTTATTTTGTACACATTTGATCAAGCACAATGGCCGTTTTTAATTAGAGATGTTTTAAAACCAGCTAAAACGAAATGCAGAATGCTCAATTCTACCATCATTACACAATATTCAAATAAAATCAATAAGTACAATTAGAACACTCTGACAAAATAATATATTTTAAATAAATTACCATCCAAAAGGTTTAGCTAGTAAGATTTTGTCGTAACTTATGTGAAACAATATTTTGTAATAGTATTAGTTTAATGTATTATAAGTAGTAATGCTTACGTTAAAGCATTCTTGTTGTATTAAATATTAAAATACCATTTTTAATAAAAAAACTGACTCAAAGATCAAGCTCGGAATTATTCATACCTCTGGCAAATTCTAACTTAAAGCATTAATTCAAATGTAAATCCAAGCTGAGAAATATTTTATTTCAACAATGAGGCCTCTTGTACATCGTCTTATTATATTTTGGGAGAAGCCTGTGTCATCTCCAGTCCAAAAAACAAACAACAAAAAACTTGCTGGTTGAATTAAAGCTACTTTAATCATTTGAATTCACAATTTTGACTGGAGAGCCTTTACTGCATATATTCAGTGCTCAGCATATATAAGTAGACCGATCACAAATCTATCTTTTAAATTCATATTTTTAATAGGAAGGCTAAAATATTATATTGGTGCATAAACATTAGATTAATCAGTACTGAAGCCAAATCTGGAGCTTATCTTACAATAACTTTCAATAATGGTAAAAGAAAACTAGTACATCCAAATTTATGTTATAGAAAAATATTAAATACAAGTTTAAAAAAGGGAAAAAGTCAAAAGAAGCAAAAACATTATAGTTGAAATTATGTAGGTTGTATATATATATATATATATATATATATATATATATATATATATATATATATATATATTTTTTTTTTTTTTTTTTTTTGCAATATTTAGCTTGAATTTAATTGTATTGTCTTTCAATTTCTAAATATGTTTGGTGACTAATATACTATTTTAATAAATATATCTGTTTAATAAATTTGTTTTGTTAAAATCCACCAAAATACATTGCCTGAAATGGATAAAAATATTCAAAATAGGGTCTACTTAATTATGCTGAGCTCTGTATATTATTTCACACTATAATCAAGGTAAATTATAGTAAAATTAACAGTATGACTATACATACATTTAGCCAATAAGATGCTATTCAAACATCAGCACCAAAACACTAATAAACTTTGTGGCGTCAATCCCCTGAAATTACCTTAAAGTACTGCTCTTTATCCACCTCAAAGAGGCAAAGCACTTTAGTTTCATTATCTATCAAATCTGCTAACATTTGATAAAAGAGTGATGGCTGTAAGGAGATGATCACAGGGAACGTGTTTTTGCTCTTGCAATGTTAAATGATTAATAATTGTTGGACTGCAAATTTTTTGCCCATGGATTCGTTTTTCATGTAAATAAACAGCATGTTTAAAATATATTTTAAGTGGAAGCTTTATCTTCTTAATGTAAAATTAAATACAATAAATTCACAAATATAAAAGCAAGTGGACAAACTAATTATATACAGTTAATTAACCATATTTGTGATTAGACTTTAATATGTTCATGTGCACTACAGAAGGGGTCCCTGGGACTCATGTGGGTCCCTGGTTTTCAAAAGAAGTAATCGCGTTAGAAGTTAAATGATTTTAGACAGATTTTACATCATACGAAAGAAACTTTATAAAACAATATGATTAATATAGTTTTCTTGGCATTGTTCTGGGCCCCCTAATTCCATGGGGCCCTAAGCAGCTGCTTTACCTTGATTATTAGTTAAGTCTGCCCCTGGTTACAAATTATCATAGCAGAAAACAGCCTGAATTAATAATTATATGATTATTTTTCAAATGGTCTCATTCGCACATTATCTTGTAATGTTCATTCACCAGTAATTTAAGCATAAAGACAGGGGCTAATACATATTAATGTATTGCTACAATAATTTTTTGTGTTTTCTTTCATATGTAGGAATGGTACACCGTGTTTGAACAGTATCGTCGCACTAACTGTGTGGTGTCAGACCTGATCATGGGGAACGAGTATGTGTTTCGTGTTTACGCCGCAAATATGGTGGGTCTGAGTCCAGAGCCTTGCCTCTCTAAAGACAGTGCCTACATCCAAAAAACAGGTGATCATTTTCAGTCTTTCTTACTTGTTTTTGATGTAGATCTTGATGTCAGTTTTTTTTTCCCATGAGCCTCACCCAGATCTCCTGATATAGGTTTTGGTTCCCTTCACAGGTATTGTGTACAAGCCTCCTTCCTACAAAGACCATGATTTCTCTGAGGCTCCCAAGTTCACGCATCCTCTCAAAAGTCGCTCAGTTATAGCTGGATACAACGCTACGCTCAGCTGCTCTGTAAGAGGCATTCCTAAGGTGAGCATGTGTACCCTTGATTTTCAACGTTTTGCACAATAGAGCCTCCACTAATACTGGAACCCTTGTTAAATATGAGCAAAGAAGGCAAAAGATTTAAAACTTTTAAACAATGAATACCGTCTTTCAATAATATCGATACAGTATAAGCGAAAGACACTATCACATGTGTCAAACTCAGTTCCTGGAGGGCCGCAGCTCTGCTCAGTTTTGTTCTAACCCTAATTTAACACACCTGATCAAACTAGTTGAGTTCTTCAGGCTTGTTTGAAACCTGCAGGTAAGTGTGTTGAAGCAGGGTTGGAAGTAAACTGTGCAGAGCTGCGGCCCTCCAGCATCTGAGTTTGATACCCCTGCTGTACAGTATATGAACAAAAGAATGTGAACACGACCCTTGTTTGTGCTAGTTTAAAGTCCATGTGAAGCAGAAGTCGCTGAGACTTAAATTTTAGTACGTTGATGTAATGAAACGCAAATAAAATATTGAGTATGGGCGGGGTTTTCTTTTTGTTCATCATTCGCTAATAGCAAACTAATGGTAAGATGGCATGGTTAAGAATATTGTGATTTAAATCATCAAACTGACATCATCGGAGAAGGACTGCCACTCCAACTGTGGAAGCAAATGATCAGAGTTGGAATGAAGATTAAATACAATGGATTTCTTACATTGAATTAACTTGCATGGATTAATTGTTCCCCTAAGGAATAACAATGTGCAACAGCCAATTAAACATTGTAAACTATGCTTTCACACAAACTTTTATGGTATTATCCTATTTATGGTATTATCCTTTACTATTATGGTATTATCCTAATTTATTGTTTAGGAGTCTCCTACAACTTACATGCAGATTTGCAGCCAACCAAGCTCAACTAATATAATTTTCTTTATAATGAGTATTGCATTTTATATAACGAATATTACTTCTCTGTCAACAATGAACATAAACGAGACTCTTCCAGGCATCATCTACAATGTTTGACAGTCAAAGTAGACACATTGTTCTCAGACAGTCAGTGAAAACCATAGGCTGGCATTGTACTATTTTTGACAACCAGCAGAGAGGCTGTGAATTACTCAGGCAGTTCTGAATTGGTTATTTTTTTTGTGAGAAAATGTCTCCATTTATTGACGTCTGAATCTTTGTAGACCATTCACAAAGTGCAGTTTGTTTATGAACTAATTTCGAGAGGATCCCATGCTTATGATCGACCACAGCTAGTCATTAGCTAACACATGCTTGACCAATCAGACGATTAAACTCACAAATAAATAACCAGAGTTTCATACCTCAGTATCTTCATCTTAAAGAATCCCCCCTGCTTTTCTAGATTGGGTGACACGGCGGCCCAGTGATTATCAATGTTGACCCACAGCAAGAATGTCACCGGTTACAGTCCCTACTGAACCAGTCAACATTTCAGTGTGGAGTTTGCTTATTCTCCCTGTACTCGCTTGGGTTTCCCCCAGGTTCCCCAATTTCCTCCCACAGTCCAGAAACACGCGACTTAACTAAATTAAACATGCTAAATTGACATTATAGTTGAGCTCTTAGCAAGCTGTACATTTCCCTGTAGCCATCCCGTTATCTGCCATTAGCTAGAATAAGTCGGGGGAGTTCTCGAGATCTACCTGAGCTCAAACTCCCCTCTTGCCTTGCTAACGGGAGGGAGCCCAGGGCTCGAGGATCTTATAAGCTCTTTCCGGGGACAGCATGCCAAACAATCTTTATTATTAATCATCAGCTATCTGTAAACTCTTGAATAGCTATATGAAGTGTAATATATGAAAAAAAACACAAAAGTGTAGACTAGTCTGCTCTTGATATGTTTGCTAGTTTAGTTTTATAATACTATAAATTTTGCAATCTTACCATTATCTTCAATGATTGGTTTATTAAAAAGAAAATGTATATTAATTGAATCACCCCTATGTTCCAATCCCCTCAGATCTTCATTAATCTTCAGAACACAAATTCTAGACGAAATCTAAGAGCTCTCTCAATCTTCATAGTCAGCAACGGCCTCAGAGAAGAAACCAAAATCTTATTAATTAGTCAATCTAGACATTTGGCAAATTTGAAGACCTTGTAATGTTTTTGAAGTGATGCAGTTTTCATACATCATCATGTTTATGTTTATCATCAATTTTGTGCAGCCTAAAATCACATGGTACAAAAACAAGATGGACATTACAAACGAAGCCAAGTACAGGATGTTCAGCAATCAGGGAGTGTTGACTCTGGAGATCCGTAAGCCGTGCCCATTTGATGGAGGAGTGTACATGTGCAAGGCAGTCAATGACAGTGGGGAAGACCTAGTAGAATGCAAACTGGAAGTTCGCCGTAAGTACACTATGCACAACTCAAGAGTTACCTACAGATTTGCTTAGTATCATTTAATGACCAGTGTTAAATACAGACTAAAATTTGTAATTTAGTAAAAGTTAAAAAAAAAAAATCTGCAAAACTAATGTATTAGCTAATAAATTAGTGAAAACACATTTTTTAAATAGTATTGAAGTCAGCCTAGTGGCTTAAGTGGCTCAAGGTCCTCTATCTCCGCTCCCAATGCTTTCCTGTCTGTCCTCCACTATCCTATTACAATAAAAGGTGAAACCCCCTAAACACTAATTATAATTAGTATTGGAAAAAAATATTTAGTTCTTGTCCTGAGAAAGCAGAAAAAAAATTAACATTTATTATGCATTGGATTATTGGATTATGTTGATTTTCTGCTGAGGATTAACTGTGTAATAATTAATGTCCAAAATAGTTGAGGTTTTAATGTTTTACTTGAGGTGCCTAATGTTTTTGTGGAAACTATGATTTTCTTTTTTATCATTGTTTAAATGAGAGATCTTTTTAACGAACATACTGTAACTGATTTAAATTCTGTATAAAATTTATTTTTAACAATTATTGGTCAGTAAAATTAAAAACTTTTGGTAAAGTTTATGGATTCTTGCCAAGTAACATAAAAAAATTAAAATAAATACTTTTGAACAAGAGTGTAGCTATATTTATGTGCAAAGTACAAATAATAATAAATATTGTTTTACCACCTTTTTATATTGATATATTTTAATTAATGCATTTATTCAGTTTTAAAATAACTTTTTTGGTATTAATTTTACAATTCAGCCAATATCACCAAAAAAAGTGAATTATGGCAAATGTGAGATGTTATGTTGGTCCACAATTAGTGGCATCCCACACTGAAAAAAAAAAAAAAATATTCAAAAATGATTCCTTGGATTTACTAATTTTTTTTAAGTTAAGTGGTTGTAAACAATTTATTTAAGCTGAATTTAAACAAAGTGTAACATTACTGAAGTCGATTTGTTTGTTTAAACTCACGCCATATAAATTGTTAGCAACAATTTTGCAGACATCATTTTTTTTCAGTGCATTTGAATGAAACTCATCTGAATGACCACTAAACATAAAAGCACCTTCTTATGTTGTTTTCATATGAAAGATATATGCTGTGACATATAGATCAAACTCCATTTACATTTCTGTCCATATTTACAATGACAATACATTTTATGAGGCTACTTTGACAAATTTCCTTCAAAACAAAAAAGAAATGGATTACATGTCCTGGCATAAATCTCTAGTTTTAAGTTTGCTGAATAACTGTTGGATTGGACCTGAGATGCGGGTCCAGAATGGATTTCTTTCCAGTGATCCATGTTTCCTGATGTGTGTGTCACACTTTAATACTTCCTCCTTACTTCCTTTTTTCTTCCTCCTTACTTTCCCATCATATCCCCTTCTACCCATACTCCCTCAGTCCGTGAGTAAACAATGAGCTCAAGTTTGCAATGCGTGTGAAGTGTGTCCAAGTGAAGCATGACAGTGTGGTGTGTGTGGACTTTCTCTAACAAAACACTCACGACTCTCAAATCAAAAAATGATTGAACTGTGCCATCATGAACGACATTTCCATTTTCTAAAAGGACTGCAAGTGTAAAATGAAAAGAAGCTTTCAGAAGCAAGAAAACAAAGGTGAACATGCTGTAAAAACGTTTGGAGAAACATCTGATCCACATGAATTCTCAAATTCAGTCCAATCTTTAGGTTTCATTGTTAATTGTTTAGCACTTCATATAAAGTGTTTTTTATTACAAGCACATATACACTCACCGGCCCCTTTATTAGGTACACCTGTCCAATTGCTTGTTAACGGTAATTTCTAATCAGCCAATCACATGGCAGCAACTCAATGCACTTAGGCATGTAGACATGGTTAAGACGATCTGCTGCAGTTCAAATCCCATCAGATTTTCACGCATAACCATCTCTAGGGTTTGCAGAGAATGGTCAGAAAAAGAGAAAATATACAGTGAGCGGCAGTTCTGAGGGCGCAAATGCCTTGTTGGTACCAGAGGTCAGAGGGGAATGGCCAGACTGGTTCCAGATGATAGAAAGGCAACAGTAACTCAAATAGCCACACAATGCACAGCACATCTAACCTTGGGCTACAGAAGCAGAAGACCACAAGTGTATATGCTTAAATATATACTCACAGGCCACTACATTACATGCACAGAGCTAGTACCGAGTTGCCTTCAGAACGGTCTTTATGTCAGTGTGAACTGGAGGTTGCTGCAGACTTTTAATTCTATTTGCTTATGTATTTACAACTGAAATGTATTATTGAGTAGGGGGCAGGGTTTTATTTTAAGCTATCAAAGTTAAGTCATCAGAGCCGAACTTCCATTCCAGAGTAAAAACAAAAATAGTTAGATTTTGATTGAAGTATAATCAATATTATACTATAAATAAGTAAACACCTTCTATTTTGGAAATAGACCCGTTTTACAAGTACCCAAGAGTTAAACAGTAAACTAAAATTTTTTGTATTGAGTCAGGCAGCCTCCCAGTCTGGCAGGAGCACTTATAGCTTAGCTAAGCATAAACCATTGAATCGGATTAGACCATTAACATCTCGCTCTAAAAAACAATTTTTTTAATTTTAAATATTTAATAATATTTTTCATATTCTAATGTTTCTAATTTCTAGGCTGATATTGCTAGGAACTATAATAGCATTCTGGTGTAATAATCAAGAAACTTTGCTGCCGTACCATGGCTGCAGCAGTGCAAAGATATTACGCAAAGCCTAAATATAGTATAAAATAAAAATTAAAACATGTTATTATCTAGTTAACTAGGCAACTGCACAGTTACCAGACCTCAATCCTGTAGAGCACCATGAGCTCATGTTTAAAAAACAAGTTTGAGATTAAGTGAGCTTTGTAAGATGGCAAGTTATAATGTAAAAAATAGCCATCACAAGAGGAGTTTGCTGTGGCCATAAAGGTATGAACATGGTCAGCAACAGTACTTGGGTCGGTTGTGATTTTGAAACAGCTCAGTTGGTTTTGAGCGGGCCAAAGTGATCAAAGTAAAACTCTAGCAGCCGGAACTGTTGATGCAAAGCAGGATGGATTGATGCGTTATGCCAAATGCTGATACCAGTTGAATGTTGCAGCAGAAAGGGAGACACATCCAACCAGGCAACCTGTTTCCCATCTTCTGTTGGCCAATTTTTTTTGGGCCTGTGTGAATTGTTTTCTGTTCCTCTAAGCACTGTCCTGGTGTTCTGCTGCTTTAGCATATCTTCTTCAAGATTTCAATATTAATTTCTGTAAACCACAGAGATGAATTTGTGCTAAAATCCCAGTAAACCAAGCCACATTTAAAGTCATTTAAATCATCTTTTTTCCCCATTCAGATGCTCTGTTTGAAGTTCAGCACAAGGTCTTCAGCACATATTAATTTCCAAATCTATTAAATTACTGCCTTGTAATTGGCTGATGAGTGTACATTGCTTTGATTCCTCTGTTCTGGCATCCTTTTCTCTTTGAAGATGGAAGAGGTTAGGTATGAGGGAAAAATACAAGCAAGAAATCAGATCATTAAAGAAATGAGATCCTAGGGCTGGGTGAATAATCAAGAATAATCTAAATCGACTTTCTAAACCAATAATCAATCTAATTTTTCAAGGGCGATTTTTTTTTTTCAATTTCTTACCTTACCACATGTGGTCATGTGACCACGCTCTGTTTGTTACTATTATGTTACTTTATCTGCGCCAGAGATGCCTTAAGAGCATAACTTCCATTACATCAAAATTATTATTCAAATTAAAACATTTGTTTACAGAAGATGCAAGAAATGCACAGTTTAAAATATTATTTACAGAACATACAAGAGTTATTTTATTTAGAAGAGATACTGCTTATTTTCCACTTTTATTAAGGAAAAACATTGAAAATAATTGATTTTGTTTCCAAAAGTGCAAGTTATTTAGTTTCATTTATTTATAAGAAAAATGTGACTTGGTTTTAAGTAATGTGTGTTTTTTATTTCAGTTGTTTAACGCTGATGTTAAATAATAATAGATAGTGTGCATTTCCTTTAATTATTTTGAAATTAAGTAAAGCACTCTTCATTAAAAATCACTCACTTGTAATATGTGAGCATATTTACTGTACAAAACTTCTCTGTGAACTTTAAACGGCAAAAAAAATCAATCGAGTTAAAATGTTCAATTAATCGAAATTTTATTTTTAGGCCAAATCGCCCAGCCCTATGAGACGCACCCTTGGTCTTTGATTCACCAGATACTGACAGAACTAATGTGTTGCACACACATTTTATGTATACTACCATTCACAACTTTGGAGAAGTACTCATGAAATTTGACTTATTATTAATAGTGACAAATGTGATAAAACGTTTAGTAATTTTAATATATTTTATCATCACACTCTAAATTGTCAGATGATGTTTTACCATTTTGATATGCTGTTCTGCTACTTAAAAAACTTTTTTTCTCATAATTATCAGCTTTAAACAGTTGCCAACTGTTTTAAACCTGATAATTATGATGAAAAAAAAAACAACATTTCTTTTTTAGTTTGCTTGATGTAAAGAAAATTCTGAAAAATAAAATGTTATAATTCTTTCAATTTTGAACCACAGAATCCCTTGCTAAAGTCATATATTTAATGATTTAAATTCATGATAACCCCAAACCTTTGAACGACAGATGCACTAACCAAACCACGTTTTCTTTTCTGTATGACAATCACACTGGACAGTTAACCCTTATTAACAAAAAGCACGTAATCTACATTGAAGTTGTGGCTTTGAATTGCACGTGGGTTTGTTGCAGATCACTCAGACGTATAATGAATTACCGTGAAACATCATTTAGTGTAATTCTACAGTGTAAATGCAGGATGTAATCTAATAACGCTTCTTCCGCTTCGTCGCAGCTCAAGTCACAAAAGAAGACATCAAGAAATGAGAGAGACGTAATGACTTTGGAGAAACTGTCACACTGTCCTCTTTCTGTCTTCTGTCCTGAAACTGATCCCCGTGATCAAATGACAAAGCAAAGAAATATTTCAGTGTTTCTTCTTCATTTGTTTGTGCTTCCCGTTACTCACTCACATCCCCATGGTGTGATTTCCCCCCCTCCCTTCGTTATTGCTTGTGTTCATTTCATTTGATTGTATTTATCATCTCTGCAGTAGAATCTAGTATGGTCACTTCAACACTGTGATATTATATAACATGCTAGATAAATAAAGCTGATGTGTATTGTTCCTGTCTGAATTTTATTTAAACCCCAATGTATGTACATTGATGTTTTAAACTTGTGTTTCAAAGATTCACAATTAAAAATCTCAACGTTTTCCCTAGAGTTTCGAAGGATTTCTGTGAACCATGACACACCGAAAATGCGTCACTCGTTCAGACGCTCGGATTAATTACCTTAGAAACCACAGCCATGGCAGACAGATGTCCGTTCTAAGTTTCCATACATCATGATGACACAGTCTCTCATATATACTAGCCATTGCCGCAGCTATCGAACGCATTCTTTAGGCCCTCGCACGCTTCAAAGTTTGTCCCAGAATCAACAGGCTGCTGGTATTAATGTAACAAAGCCTATACAAAGTCCATCTGGAAGCGTCAACTCAGTGGTTTTAGATGGATAGCATGGCTGGACTGGGTGGCTTAGTTCTGGAATTTTCTCCAGTGGCAATTTAGGGGCAGGTTTGAGAGGATGAAATATTTGAAATGAGGCCCAGACATGCAATGAGGGGTAAAGGTGTCAAAATGACGCTGGACGTTTGTTGCAGATTGAAGTTAAGCAGCTGTGTCTCTCTGTCCTTGCGCACAAAGGTATTTCTATGACCGTTCAAAATAGACAACAAGTAGTACACACTATTAAACAATAACTGGTATGGGAGGTTTTTTTCTGAGTAGCATTTTAAAATAACGGTCATTTAGTTAATAATAGTAATATTATTCATGAATTTAAAAACATGAACAAACAATGAACAATACAGTATTTATTCATCTTTGTCAATGCTAGTTATTGAAAAAGTTTTTAAATGTTAGTTCATGTCAACTCACAGTGCTTAATGTAAAGAAGCACAACTTTGGAATTTAATCATGCTTTTTTAAAGGTTTGTAAATGATTATTTAATGCTTCAAAGAATTGTTAATTCTGGTCAGATTAACAAATTATTTGATTTTTGTAACTGATATCAGTTAATTCAATTATAAATTTCGATTACCTAACTCTTTAGAAGTTAAAACACTGGTATTGGGTTGTAGAAAAAAATGTTATTTAAAAACTGAACACATGAACCCATGTCTCCTTGGGGGAAAAAAAAGAAAAAAAATTTAAATTTTCATTTTATTTTTTATTTGGGGGGAAAAATGAAGTCTAACATACACTACCGGTCAACAGTTTTTTCATGTTTTATTTTTTAAGAAAATTATTCTGTTCACCAAGGCAGCATTTATTAAATGCAGTTTTTTTTTTATTTGTTAAATTACAATTTTAAATAACTGCTTGCTTATTGTATGTAGTTTTAAATTAAATTATTACTCTAGTCATTATTGCTTTAGTTATTAATACCATTAATATTATTAATAATAATAATTCTTATTATTATTAGATTAATTAATATTAGAGTGATTTCTGAAGAATCATGTTATTAAAGACTGGAGTGATAACACTAGAAATTCATCATTAAAATCACTGGAATAAATTAATAAATTAAATTATAAACTACCTTTGAACAGTTAGTTTATAGTGCAATAACATTTCACAATTTTAAAATGTATATTGTATTTTTGATTAAATAAATGCAACCTTCATGAGTAGGAAATGCTTCTTTTAAAACAAGTAGTTTAATTATCTGTAAATCATAAATCCAGAATGCACAGAATTTCAAAGAACATTAGATACTAGATATCATTGACATTTCACAGTAGGGAAAACAAATACAATGAAAGTCTATAGTTATTAAGTTTCCAAAATTTTCTAAATATATTCTTGTGTGTTCAACAGAAGAAACCAAACCAGGTTTGTGACAAGTAAACAATGAGTAAATGTAGATTTGTTTCTTTTGGGGCTGCACTATGATCCTTAAAAAAAGTCATCAAATGATTCTTGTTGGTATATTGTTAATGACTGACATTTTTTGGAAATAATCGAAAAATAAGATATTACTGTCTTTATTTAAAAAAAAAAAAAAAAAAAAAGGGAATAGGCTTTACTTTACTATATATACACATCAGACTTTCTAAAGCATGGGTGCTCAAACTTTTTCTTATGAAGGGCCAAGGTCGTACGCGAGAGGAAAATATAGCTTACCAAACCGTAAAGTTGTCAATTTAAGTACCAATTTATAATTTATAATTCATTATTTAATTTATTTAACACTATAATGTATTGTAGCTTACTTTAAATATATTAATTGTATTAAAATATAATACATTTTTGTACGTTTTATAATGAACATCTTATAAGAAAAATCATGAACAATCTTATTTTAATACAACTAAAAACACACTTGATTCTTGATTCGTTTGCTGATGTCTTCTGCAATGTCTGCTATCCATCAAGTGACTGCAGTTTTTTTTTTTAATTATCCGATTTATTCACATTTAATTGAAACATTTAATTGCAGTTTCTTTTTAGTTCAACAGTTTAAAAACAAAAGTCATGTTAAATTGGAAATGACAATCTCTGTTAAAGGCATTCTCTCTCTCTTTGATGGGATGGTAAGCCAAATCAAAGGTTAGCCCTGGTTTGGGCATCTCTATTCTAAAGCTTAGAAAAATGTTTTAAAAGCACATTTTCGGAGAAAAATATCCTTCAACAATATCCACCAACCCCCAACCTGGATGGACACGAGAAAAGAAAATCAGTCCGAGTGAACTCTTGAATGACACATCCATTCATTAATATAGTCAGCAGACCCATTTTTCTTCATTAACACGGTTCAAACTCTCCACACCTTGTCAGAAGGGGGATTGTTTTTATATTACATGTTATTAATCGCTAAGGCTTTCAGTGTCAGTGACGCTCGCTTCCGTCTTAAAGATGCAACCCGAGACAGACGAAACACAGTCGATGACAACGCTGACAAGAAGCTAAATTGAGCTGACAAATCCCTTGACAGTGTGTTTACTAGTCTGTGACCGAGTGCCATCCCATTACCACACAAAAATGAAGTATGTGGATAGTGTGTTGTTTATAAATTCGACGATTTTTGTTAATTGGGTTTCACATAAATTTTTGAAACAATAAAATTGCTGATATTTACCTTTCTGACGAAGTATTTCAGCTCTTTAAATGAGACGACGACTTCAAGTTATGACTGAGTAGTCCTGCAGCGCCCTCTAGTGTTCAGGCAAATGTGTACTAGTCTGGTTAATAACATTAACTCTCTCACTAGAAGCTATGAAACGTTCCTCACACTCACGCACGTAAAGAAAAAAGCCAAGACACAAAAATGATTTAAACCCACAGTATATTTAAACTCTGTATGCTCAAACAAAATCACTTTGATCAGCCTTTATACATCCATGTTAAAATGTAACAATACAACAGGACAGAAATAATACAATAAAACAACAGGTTGTTAAAAACAGTCAAAACTACACTGAAAGAGCTCCCAGAAAGGATGCAAGTTTGGTCTTTTTACTTGAATCACAGGAAAACAAAAAGGTGGTTAAGAAATCAAATGAAGCATTCCTGGCCAATAGTAACAATTAAAAAAAAGAATAGATTTTTTTTATCAAAAAGGGGTAAAATATCAAAAGAAAACGGTTATAAAAATAGTTAATCAGCCCCCCCTGTGGATAAATCTGAGTATCAATGGGAAATGAGTATCCTGATGATGATGGCGAGAAACTGATCATGTCTTATTATTGCTCTTGTGATACATAATGCTTTTAAAATTCACGTTATTGTAGAAAGAAGCAACCTGAGCACCACAGAAAGAAAAGGGATCGTTTGATTCTTGATGCTGCTTTTTTTTTGTCAATAACACAAATGATTCCTTCATGCAAGACATCAGACCTCCCTTTTATCTCTCACCCCCGAAACACCTACGCATCTCGCAGCTCGGGGTGAGTCATGGGCCTCTATAATTAGACACGTTAAATATTTTATGAGAGACTGAGAAAAATAGACAGGTTTTTTTTTCCCCCAAGCTTGTCAGACACTGAAAATACCTGCATTTGATGTTAAAAATACATTGTGTTACATTTTTGAAACATGAAAATTAGTACAAAGAGACGCAGTGTTAAAGTAATCTGAATTCAACAATCATTTCACTTAAATCCTTCAAATACGCTAAAGGGATAGTTTAAGAAAACTGAAATTTTGCAGGTAATTTACTCACCTCATCCAAGATGTTCAGTAGTAAATTAGACAAGGTTTATAGATAAAACTGTGGTCCATTTATTTGTAAAATGCATTTCAATCCATACTGACACTGCAAGTCAAAAAACATACAGGTAAAACAAGATTCCTGATCAAAAATGAAGGTCTGAAACAAAACCACTTGCCAAGGCTGTGAATTAACAGTATTAATGTGGTAAATAACATCCTGTTTCTTGCACAATCTGATCAATTCCTTTCATAAGACATCAATGTTTTTTCAGGAGCAAGAGGTTTTAGTTATGTTTAGCCTGAATCATTTCTTTGCTCATCTCTTAAATTGCTAATAGAAGTTGACATGCATTTTTGGAATGTCCAATGACCACAGTTTTAGCTAGAAATCATCTTTAAAGAAATAGTTCACCCAATAACGAAAATCTACTCAGCATTTACTGAAACCTCAAGTAGTTTCAAATTCATTTGAGTTGCTTTCTTTTGTTGAACAAAATTATTCTGGAAGTCATTCACATTCATAGTAAGAAATAAATTACATACCTTGGAAGTCACATTCTTCCAAGTATCTTCTATCTTTTTTTGTCCAAGGCATTTAAAAAATGTAGAAAAAAAATATTAAAAAGCCATTACTGACATGACTGTTAAATTAATAAAGGCTTTTAAACATTTTTTCCACATTTTTCTGAAGGCCTTGGACTAATTTTTGCTGGTTATTCTGATACCAAAGAGAACACATTATTTAAGCTACTCCTGAGCACTTTTTGTTTTAGGTTGAATTATTTATCTTTTTTTGTATTTAACAGAAGAAACAAATAGAGGGTGAACAAATAAGTGGATTTTCATTATCAATCTTTTTAACATTGTTACCAACATCTTGGATGGCCTGAAGAGGTGACTAAATTAACCAATTTGTCATTTTTGTGTAAAGGATCACTTTAAGTATTAAACATAGGGGTGTATCGGGAGAAAACCTGATAAAAACTACTGCTGAGCATCTCCAGATCTGTATCACTTTCCCCATAAATTCTAGACACTGATACGGGTGAACGAATTGCTGACTTTTCAGGGGGGAAAACAAATGACTGATCAGGTTTAAAACAAAATGACAGCACCAATTTATAAAAAAAAATAAAAATCACTCGAGCTTAATTTAGACATGTCTCATAGAATGAATATGTGTGACATTCATTTATGCATTCATTGCTGTTTTGCTAGCAATACGCTGAGCTGCTACCTCGTGATGCACTAATATAACCGTTTAAGAAAATTGATTCTGAACCATGACGATGCAGGTTTATACAATAATCAGCAAAAACTGGGTGAATCATATGGACCCAGAGCTGAAAGGCAAGTGCCACATTATCATTCAGAACTAATGAAACTAACCTCCCCTACAATCTTAACTTAGTGTGTCTGCTGAAGTGTTTAAAATAAAAACGCTTTACTTCTACAAATTAAAAACTAGACGCGTGCTTGACGAAGAGCTAGTGACTGCTTCATTCCGTTTCTGTGTTTTAAGGGGTATAAGCTACAAAAATGTTACATTTTCATTCATTTTTCTGTTTATCCAACACCCAAACAGCGCCACAAGCATCTCCTCAGAACTGCTTTCCGGTTCAACGATTTATAAACATTCCATTCACGTATTTTCAATCAAAAGCAGACTGTTGAAATGGCGTAATCGTGACCGTATGTAACATGCTTTATGCCTCCAAATGAATCTAAACACACAGCCGACTGCCTCATTCTTCTCTATTCTTGTTGACAAAAGCTGATTTGTTTACTCCACAGAGCTGATACACCAATTACTGTAGATCACAGTGTTTTTCATCTGTAAATTCATTAAATGTAAAAAAAAAAAAAAAAAAAGAAACAGTGTCAGTTTTTAACAGCTACACTGTTTGTTTCAGCATTTCCTTGTGTTTGAAGCAAACAGCAGTTCTGAAAAGATGCTCATATCACCGATTTGCCATTTATCTATCTCTCCAAACACGTACGTTATGTATTTCTAGTTAACTTTTCCTTCTATCTTAGTGAAAGAGTGAGAAAAGTTGACTGGAAATGAGTATATCATAACCCCTTTTCTTAATTATACACCATTCTTTCGAATTTCTGTTAAACGTTTGCACTCAATTACATTTCGGTTGAGCTAGTGTTTACTCGTTTTGTGCATGGACCATAAAACACAGCCTACGATGGGACACACTGAAGGCTGCAGCTGCAATTATTTTTTTTTAAAAGCTCTTGAGGCACTTTTTTAGACATTTTCATTCAGATCACCTCAGGAGTTGAACATTGCAATGGTCCCCTTGCATATCTAACAAATCAACATCCCAAATGACAGTACATTCTTAGTAACGCACCATTACAGTGCACGTATGTGATGTCTACGTGAAAACATCCAGAGCCCGTTTCGTAGTGTTCATGCTATGAGAAAGAGGCGTGTGAAAACACTGTTAAAAAACCGTTGAGGAGGTGAGGATTTAGAAAATTTCACAAAAAGGAGAGCCAAACATGTGGCTAATCCCTGGCTGGAGAAAGGGGGTGAGAGAGCGTGGACAAAGAAGACAGATGGCAGAAGATATACAGACAAATAGAAAAAGACAGAAAGAGAGAGTTTGGGGGGGGGGGGCACAGATGAGACCCCTACTTGGGGAAGTTGTTCTGTTGCCGGCGTTTGGCAGACCTCAACTTCTCAAAGCGCGACTCCATCTCTTCCAGGACTTTAGGGGTGTACCGTACCACCAGTTTCACTGTGCCCTGAGCAGCCTTCAACAGCTCCACAGCTTTCTCGTGGTGCTCTCCTTCTACACTCTGAAAGACAAGGAGTTCTTTTTCTATTGGATCAACATTTTTATTTTTTAAATGCCTATATTGGTGTGACATAACTTATAAATGAGTTCAGTTTTTTTTAATAATCTGAAACGTGCTGTGACTTGTATTTTAAAGCAGTTTACATAATGCAGTTTACGTCAATCTGAGTGGGTGCAAAGTGTCCACATTTCGATTTGTATAGCTTTCACTTTATTTATTCACTTTATCCCTTGGTCAAACTTTATTTTGATGGTCTGTTGGTTGAATTTAAATTACATAGCAACTACAAGCCAACCATAGATATATACACTAGTTATCGCATAGGGACCCCGAGCATGCGTCAATAGCGCCGCCATATTTGTAGTGCTCCCAGGACAAGTGTCATTCAACCGCACTAGTCAAGACAGTGTTACTACGTGAAGATGCGGGACTTTAGCGCTGTCTACGGGTGTAGTAACAAAACAAAGAAAACAAAGCACAAAGGCAGAACATTTCATAGGTAAGATTCAGGTTTTTTTACGTTTTGGTATATTATGAACTTTTGTGCTAAACGGGTAGCGTTATTGATAATAATACTGTCTCTTACTGCATTCACCAAAAGGCAAAGCAGCAGCAACTCACACCTAACACTCGGCTTATGCAACTTTTGTTGAATAAAATCAGCAAACAATGCAAAAGATATATGAAAACGAGATGCTGGAAACTTGTATTATTGTCCGTTAAGTGAAGGAGTCGTTCATTCACAAATGAATCTCCCCCTCCGTCAGTATGAAAAGTGAAAGCAGGTGAGGAGGTGTGTTTCAGGACACGGATTTGATCAAATTTAACAGGGAGTATGGATAGTACATTTCCATACAAACAAACACAAGCTTTTTGTCAGAAATGCCTGTGCGATCACTGATCCATCAATATAGAAAAGTGATGTAAAATTATAATTTTCATAATTTAAAAAAGAAAATTGCATACTGACCTCCGGGAAAACTCCCGACCATAGATATTTGTGTATGTGTGTAATTCTCTGGCTCTGGATGGCCACAGTCCTCCATAGCAGCTTGGTCCCACATTTATTTAAAAGGAGCGCTACCCTGTACTAAAATGGCGGCTCAATTGACCCATTCCTTCTAATAGACAACAACAGGGTAGGTGACATCTAATGTATATATCTATGCATGCCAACTGATTCTCATTAGATTAGAAGCAAACTGTTAGGTTGGGGGTAGGGTTAGTGTAAGGTGACATGTACTTGCAAAGTTTCACATAGTAAGTTAAATGTCTGTTGAAGGAGCAATATCAACATATGAAGCAGACAATCTACTAACACTCAATAGGACCATCATCGAAAATAAAGGTTGACCAATAACTTTGTTTAAATTACATTTCTGACACCATTTATTTAAATGAGCATTTTGTTTTGATGAATAAAAAGGTCAACCAGTCAAACATTTTACATAGTGAATGCCACCACAACTTCTTTATTTTATAGGCATTTGCTCTTTTCTGTTCTGAATACTGTTATATTTAAAGGGTTTGTTAAGAAGTGAAGAGAACCAAATCCATTTTCATTGTGTGTAAATGTTGTTTATGTTAAATTCCTTAGGAGCGTATAAAAATGGTATTTAGACAGCTATGTGTAACATAATAAGGTGTAAAGTATTTTCTTGAAAAAAAAAAAATTTCACATAATTTAGTCTAACTTATATCACACCAATCCGGTTTATGTAAATTCCCTTTTTACAATAATTATTTTTAATTCTCAATTTGTTTTAAATTTTCTCAATTTTTTTCTCAAACAAAAAAAGCAAAATGAGGAAGTGCAGTACAGAATTTATTAATCTGTAATTAAATAAATAAGTGTATTCTGCACCTGTGAATTCAGATAAAAAGTTAATGTCAAGCATTTTGATCTGTTGTGTACATACCACTCCATTCACAGATAGCAGCTGGTCTCCTCTCTTCAGGCCACCGTGTCGATCAGCGATGCCTCCAGGAATGATGCGGGAGATGTAGATGGGAGAGTTTTGTTCCTTCCCACCCATTATGTTGAACCCCAGTCCCTCCTCTGTTTTTGGGAGCTCCACCACACGTGGGTGAGAATGGCCCTCACTAGCTGCAAACGCAGCCACTGTAGCCTGTAGAAAAAGAAATCAACCACTTATGGATAACAAAAAAACTACTTCTGCAAGGGATAGACATACCAAAACACACTATATTTGTTATATATAAATGTGTCACAGCTCCTTAAAACATAAAGCTAAATTTAGGATTTCAACTTTATTGACAGCATGAAATCATATTAAATTGGATTCTGAAGAATCAGGTCACAGTAAAGCGTCTTTTTCTGGTTCACAATAATAGGAATAACAAGAAAAAAATCATTTTGATTTCTAACAACAGCTTATAACTGTTTATACTGCAAGCTGGTTTGGTGAACAGACATTAAAAAAGAATACATATGTCTTCTAAATAAAAGGAGAAAATAACAACCTCCCTCAAATAAGTTGCTGATGTAATTTAGGCCATCAGTCTTGTGCAAAAGAAGGCATTACAATCAAGCTAAGCCAATCAGATAATCAGATTGACTTCCCTGTCTGTTAAGGTACAAGCTAAAATGGTTCACAGAATTTAATTCTAGTGAAGAAAGATGGCATCTTTGATGGCAAATACTTAAGAAATTTCATCTGCACAACCTCAATACATATTTGAGTGTATCTGTGTAATTGCTGTGGCGGAACCTTGTTTAGTTTTTGTTCTTCACTAATTACAGTGGAGTATACGCCTGCTGCGCGCTGATGCAGTTTTATCTAACATTACATAATCATTTAAACATCATCTTTACATTATTAAATCTAATTTATTAATATTATCATGTAACAGGGTTAAATAAAAAAAATGTAAAGAGCTCAAGAGAAAAGATGAAAAGAACATAGAGAGATCATTTTTTTTGGCGAGACTCAATGTAACTTCTGGACTTTGTGATGGCAATGATGTGTATCCACCAGCAGAAAAAGAAAGCTTACAGTTAAAAGAGAGAGTGGTTGAAATATAATTCTTTACTAGTAATAAACTTCTCACTATTTTCCATTAACAGTAGCTGCTGTATGTGAAGGGTTGCCAGTAAAGATGCACTGCTTGTCATTAATGCTAAGAACGGACATGCTAGAAGACAAAACATTGCACCAGGAATGCTCTTCACAATATTTGAAATACTGGGAGAAAGCAAAAACTCAGGGGTGCCCAGACTCAGTCCTGGAGGCCAGGTGTCCTACAGATCTTAGCTCCAAATTGCATCAACAATCCTGCACGGATGTTTCCAGAAAGCCTAGTAAGAGTTTGATTAGCTAGGCCAGGATTGTCTGATTGGGGTTGGAGCTAAACTTTGCAAGACATCAGCCCTCCAGGACCGAGTTTGGGCACCCCTATTCTAAACACTGATAAATGTTAATATGTATCCCTAACTGAAACTAACGGTCAGAAGCAAGGTTATTTTAGTAAGCAAAAACTAAAATTAAGATTGAAACAGTAATACATAATATTTTCCTTATTTTCCAAAAAAATGTAAATTAGGCATGTTTATCTACTTGTATGACATTTAAAAAGCATAATTTTTACATTTACTTATTTAAACTGTATTTGTGTGGTTTTGGCTTCAATATTTGTTTATACAGTTCATCATTTCATTTTTTTTTTGGCTTAGTCCCTTTATTAATCAGGCTTCGCCACAGCGGAATGAACCAGCAACTTATCCAGCATGTTTTATGCAGCGGATGCCCTTCCAGCTGCAACACAACACTGGGAAACACGAATACACACATCCATTCACATACAATATGGCCAATTTACCTTTTTCAATTCACCTGTACCGTATGTCTTTGAACTATGGGGGAAACCCACGCAAACACTGGAAGTTTATAAAATTATTTAAAATTTATTTCTATGAGATTTGCACATGATTTAAAGCTGTGCAAACACAAATTTTGCTCTGGTCAACACTGAAAGTTTTCTTTTAAATGGAAAAAAAAGTAAAATTTAAACTAAATATATAAAAACTAAATAGAAATATGTTCTGAAAATAAAAACTAAAACTAACAAAACCATTAATGAACCAAACTAAAACTACATTTAAAGCAACTTTAAATATAGTACTGAAATAAAAACTCCAAAACTACAATAACCTTGGTTGGCAAAAAGTATTTTTCTTTGTACAGAGCCATAACATTTTTCTAAGCGCAGCATTCCTAATGTACCAGTAACCAAGGAATCTACAGTACACTGTAAAAAATATGTTAATTAACAGTTTCAGTATTTTGTGATTCACAAGCTTTTTCCCTTTATTGTATGCTTGTGAATTGCCTATTGGCCTTGATCTCTGCTCTGTCAACTTTTGAAGTTGAAAATTCAACTTTATAGTTTAACAAAGTGACTTTTATTGACATTTAAGCAGTTTGAAACGTTATGACGCATAAGAAATAATATATAGAGAAATAAGTCTGTAAAATAACAGAAAATCTACTAGCAGCATATTACAAGACTTTTTTTATCATAATATACAACACCACCAATGCAGAGATATCATTTAAAACGTATTAACATTTTGAATAAAGTCACTTTGTTAAACTGTAGAGTTGAATTTTCAACATCAAAAAAACTGACTTTCCCAATTTTTCCAAAGATAAAGTCAGACAATACTGTTTTACTTTCATTTTTGAAATGATACAATCTAATAACACATCACTACAGTGTACACGTAAAGTTTATAGCATCTTTAATTTCAAAATGCACTGTCAAATTTCAACGCCAGAGATGCAATTTGTTTAAAATAAGAGTTATGGCTGCATCATATTGGAAAAATCTAGCATTGCAATATTTTATTTTGCCATAAATATTGCGGTATGAATACAATTTCAACAGATAACTTGAATATCTCTATTTTGAAAGAATTTATAATGTTTGATTGGGATGATTCTGCATTCAAAATGCCTCTTCATAAAATCTAATAGAGCTTTAAACTTTTTGGGGTCCCCCGACACATTTTTGTTGTGCTATTTGCAGTGCATTTCTGTATTTGCATGTGTTGTGAGTATTTTCAAGCACAATAATCTATAAATACAATCAAGAAAAAGATAAAAGTGAAATAAAGTGTTTTATCGTTTTCCGAGTCTACCGGTATTCAAGTACAGTAACTTAATGATGAAAGTAATTAAATAAAATTAATCATTGTTATAGTAACAAATGATACAATTTCTAAATGCCTTTAATGTCATTATACAATCACAGGCATCAAAAACACATGCAATCAATGAATTATAATCCAGACTCAATATTGCGTATGCTCACAATGTGACTATTACGAATGATCACATAGTGATCATTCGTAATAGTCACATTGTGAGCATACGAATGATCACATTGTGATATCAATGCTGAAACGATATACTGTGCAGCCCTAGTAAGAGTTATACGATCTTGTGTCATGTATAAAAACAAACAAATGCACCACTAAGGACTTCTGGCCCACACCATCTACAAAGAAGAGCTCACGTTGACTAAATTTAAACCCATGTTGAGACAAACACAATACACACAAATGTCTTCAATTGTAGTTCTCTACATTTAAACTAAACTTGCACGCACCAATGTTACAAAGTAATAACAAAAGTACATTTTTAAGCTCTGAGAAGGAATAGAGTTGTCTACCTGACTTACCTTTGCTGTTGCGTTCGCCCTCACCTCAGGGCTGCTGTTTATGTCCACCGTCTCGTACACATGCTCGTATACCTGACAGAAAGCACACAAACGCAGTATGAATACAAACTCTGTGGTCTTGTTTTGTAAACCTATCCAGGCAAACAAACACGGACATACAATTTAAACCAGATTTCCAGAACCTTAGGCAGTTTCCCAGATCCATCTCAGTTTAGCTACAAACTAAATTACTTGTGAATCGTAATTCAACCTTAAAAAGCCGTTTAAGTCCGTCACATTAGTCTGTATCAGATCTTCAATGGACAGCCACCATTAACGGAGAAATTGTGTCCTAGACCATAATCTTTGACTGGAAAGCCGCACCATTAGGAGAATACAGTATCAAATCAATCTCTTCACATGGCTCGCTCTTGATGCTTTAGCACATGTTTAGCACACCGCTATTCCATCTTGCATTCAGGGCCATCATTATACGTCCACACACAAGCCTCAGTGTTAAACCAAGAGACATGTGCGTTTATCTAAGAATCAAGCAAATATTCAGAGTGAAATGTAAATGGTTAAGAGACACTGCTCTTGAGTTACTAATAAAGCACTTTACGCATCCATCAAAAAAAAAAAAAAAAAAATACAGCACTTTACTCAAGCACCATCACATGCAACTGAAAAACAAGCTTTTCAGGAGAAACGTCACAGGTGACCTTGGAGCCTCAACACATGCAAAATGGTTGTAAAGAGTGTAAAAGGGCCTAAAATCTATTTTATGAAACTAGATTTGTGCAACTGAACAATGAAAGTGACTATAATATTAAAATGTTTCATTTATCTTAAATACTTGGTACTAATTAGTCAGTTTTAAAGATCATGTTAATTTATTAGTATCAGCCATTAAAGATCAGTTACGCAAACATTCATTAAATTAATCAAAAGCTAAAATAATGTAATGTACCATTTAAATATATATATATATATATATATATATATATATATATATATATATATATATATATATATATATATATATATATATATATATATTAGGGGTGTCCAAATTAATTGTTTCTTCGGTGCACCGCGATGCAGACGCGGACAATAAGGTATCGGTTCAGTAATAATCATAACCGGTTATTATGTACTGATGTCATTTATCTCCTGTGCGCTCTGTCGCGAGGGAGGTGAGCGCGAGTATTTACAACACTCAGCCAACTCAGGGCCAGCCTGTGGCATAGGCACCATAGGCAAATGCTAAGGGTGCTGTATATCCAGGGGGGCGCCAGAAAGGAACGCGGTTCAGTTGGTTTTGTTTTCAAAATTTCTGACACACATTCAGTTATAGACGGCATTAACTCAAAAACCTCTTACCCTAAAAAGATCTAAAGTGTGTTTCCTACAAAAAGACAAAGCTGGTTATGTTTCACAGCTGTCTTTTTATTTTTTCTGCTCGATATTACGACCACTGCTCCGTTTAAGCCCTCGCAATATTTGTTTAGCCGGGAGAGCTCGCGCTGAGAGGAGCTCTCAGCAAGGGACCGTCGAAAAAGTGCTTCTTTTTTTTTTTTTTTTTTCTGCTCCGCTCAGCGCGAGCTCTCCCTGTTGCGAGGGCTTAAGTGTGTGCGTGCGTGCTGGGGGGTATTCCAGAAAGCTGGGTTAACTTACCATCTGCTAAAACCTAAACTCTCGGTTGATTTACCCAAAACCTGCTTACCGCGAGTATGTTGGTTCCAAAACAGGTGACAAGAGTTAGTTAAATCAACCTCCTGAAGATAACCGCGGGTTAATGCGCGTGCACGGCACACACCTGAAGGCATTTTCAGTAGATCGCCGAATTCACGAGTCACCATAGAAAGTCACGGTGAGAAAAAAAGGGCAACGCACTTTACAGAGGCAGAGCTGGAGGTTTTAAACACAGAGATTACACATCTGCTTCAACGAAGGAAAGAAATATAGAATAAGAAATAGATAAGAAAATAAAAAATAAATAATAAGAAAATTTATTAGTTCATTAAATTACACATGCCACCCTCCATTTTATTGTAATGATAAATTAAACTACTCTTTAACATTCTTTTTTAGTATGTTGTGTAACCATTCATGCATTTATTTTTCTTGCCATTAATTTCTTAAGGCCACAATATGTGTATTGACTAATAAGGCTTATAGAAATTGTAATCTTTCTGGAGCTAGAACTCTGTCCAAAGTCATTAAACACAGAAACATTATCATAAAAGGTAATATTTAATTACTGGAGCTCTTTATTTAACACTCTAGAATATTCTTTCTGTCATGCAGCTAATAGAAAGAGGCCTGTCTAACTGCTGTGTCCTATAATAAAGGCTTTTCAGTGGTTGAGTTTTTGACTTAAACCACACACTCTGTCACTGTTGTAAGTGATTGTTGTCAGATAGCTTTAGGTTCTTTTTATTTTGCATGCAGACGAAGTTCCTTCTGCCTCAACTAACAAGCAGTGTAAGAATTTTCTGCACTTTTCCATATTTGAATATTACTCTTGGATCACAAAATCTTTTATCTACATATTTAAATTCTAAAGTAGCTGTATAAGGTCCATCTTCAAAGATAAAGTCACATAAGCATCAACTTAAGGTGAGAAATGTATATGAAAAATATGTTACACGTTGAAAGGTGTGTGTATAAAGCAGTGTACAAAATCATTCATTTTATTTCAGGAAATGAAGAAATGAACAGACCAAACTATTTGATTAAACATAGTTTTTTGACTAATTATATTTTTTTAGCACTCTTCCATCTGTTTTGTCTGCTTGGGTCACTGAGATTTCCTCTGGGTCAGGCTGCAGGTAGGGTGTCATCGTATAAGGCAGAAAAGGGTATCTTTTGTCCTCCAGCAAGTAACAATGTAGTGCCCAGTAATGATTCTATTTTATAATATAATAAAAATAAACATTGTGTTGAGCAACATTTGCTTTATAGTTTTTTTTTAAACTATATTTGTGTTATACACTTGAATCACTACTTCCTGAAAATCAGCCATTTAGCCTCAACATAGTGATGAGGTGGGGTGTGTGATGAGCTGGTAAGTGGAAGCAGTAATGAGTTTAATAGTTGAAACACCAAAAGATTAAGGATAGAAAATTAAGTTGTACCTGCACACTTATACTTTGGACAAATTTTATATTATCAGTGTCCTTTAGTGACTGATGGAGCTTTAAAATCGGCTGCAATTAATGCACACAATAGCATTTAGAAACCCTGAAAAAAAATGTAAGTGTGTGTGCGTGAATGTTTATATAAGAACGACGTCCTACATCTTAAATTAAAGATATATTTTCCTACAAAAGACAAAGCTGCCACTTATAATATTATACAGAAAATGTGAGGGTGCAGAAGAAGAGAAAAAACACAAGATCTGTAAGTGAGATTCAAACTCGCTCCATTGTTCTTTATCGACGCACTGTCCACTACGCTATTGCCGTGCTCTGAATCATCTGTGTAATGATACGCAGTGATTTATGACCAAGGAACTGTACAAAAGTTTAAAAAACAGTTCAGTGCCAGGCATACTGTACAGGTGGTCCTACTGCCACATTGTACAGTTGCCTAAAATGCCCTGACGCGAATACAAAGAGCTGCACTGAATGTTTTTTATGGTAAGCGCAGACCCGCGGTTTGTCACATTTGATTTCAAAAAGGTTTGTTAAATACATTAACATTATGAAAAAAACTATGCACTTATAACCCTCTCACAACGAAAAAACTTGTATCTGTGTGTCCACATCCATAAATATTCTCATCAAAAGAGCACGCAATGCTCAGTAAACTCTCTGAAACAGACAAACTCTGGAACATAGCAACTTACTCTCTGAACATAACCTGCTCCGGAGCAGGTTATCTTCAGAGAGTAAGTTGCTATGGCTACTTAACATACCCAGAAGTTACCTCCGATTTTGGAACAAAAGTTGAGGTTATCCACCTACTTACTCTCAAACTTACCTGTGTATGTCACATAACCTGCTTTCTGGAATAGCCCCCGGGCGTGTGTGTGTGTTTGTTTGTTTCTTTGGTGCTGTCTATGTTTGTGTATGTGTTTGAATGAGAGACAGTTTGGTACTGTGTGTTTATACAGACAGCTTGTTATAGCCTCCCCCCAAAATATAACACTGTATTGGAAAGCATCGTCAATGCACCAAGATATAGAATTGAACCGAATCGAAGGCATGATAATCGTAACCGAACCGTGAGACCAGTATAGGTTCACACCTGTTATATATATATATATATATATATATATATAGTTTTCAAGGAAACAAAAATCTTCCACCATAGATAAATACAAGAAATGTAACTTCAGGAACAAGTTAATATATTAGAGTAATTCCTGAAAAATCACAGACAAATGAAAATTCAGCTTTGTCTTCCAATATTTAACTATATTTTAAATCATATTATTGGAAAAAAAAATATTTTAAAACTGTAATATCTTACAATATTTCAGAAATGGAGAGGATTAAAAGTCTTCTTAAAAAACACACACACACAGACAAAAAGAAAAATCTTACTGACCCAAACACTTTTAAATGTGCAGTGCAGTGTTTCTTAACCATGTTCCTGGAGAACCACTAGCACTGCATGTTTTGGATGTCACCTTCGTCTGTCACAACATTACAGGTTTTTCAGTCTATGTTAATGAGCTGATGATCTGAATCAGGTTTGTTTGGTTAAGTAGTCATGGAAAATGTGCAGAACTGGTGGTTCTCCGGGAACGTGGTTGAGAAACACTGACTACTTTACATGGACATTAGTAGTTGAATTATTTGCCTTAATCTGAATATGACAATAATATGATTAAGGTGATTACATGAGTTGCTTTTTCTACGTTCTTTTCATGATCCGTTCTACTTGTTATAGCACATGGTTCAATTAAAGTCATTGCGTCACCGCACTATCCATATTTGCTCCATAGTTTCATGTAATATTAGGTGTTTCATTATTAATTTGTCAACGTTAACTACAGTTTGGCACTTTCACTTTCATTCAGGAAAATTTCATGCATGCCCCAGTGACAAACAAGATATTGGATGAGAGAAAGAACTGCAGGAAGAGTGTTGCTTTAATGGAATTTAATACAGCATGCCATATGGAACAAAAACGATGCAGGTGTGTGTGGTCCTTCATTGACACAGTAGGTGCAGAGAATAATGTCAAATAGCTTTGTGTATAGACTACTCTGTCGCAAAACGTGGCAAAAATCCTTTACAATGGAAATAGATTGATTAAGGTTAATTAGTCATCTGTACAGCAAATAAAATCTGCATACTCCACCTCTTAATTCAATTTCTGTTTTGATCAATTATGACTTTAGTCGGATTAAGGCAATTAAAAATTGCTGTTTACATGGTAGACTCTTAGTATTGTCTTATACTCTTATATTCTTAAGATTATATGCTTAATTATATTGTCTTATGTCTTATATTTAACCAAAATAAAATCGGAGTATTGGTGTCAATGTAAACGTACTCACTAATGTAGAGCTGAAGTATAGCTATTTGTTTTTATTTATTTTGATCTTACATCTTTTACATCATTTTACAATCACAAAGCCAATTCCTAAAACGGCAGAAGTTAATATTATTATTTTTATATTTACATCAGAATTTTTCAAAATGAACATAACGTTGTTATGCCTTAAACCACATTTTAAAACAAAAACATTTAATTTTTGCCTGTTTTCATACAAATTAAACTCTATTATATAATATTTATCAGTCACAAGCCATAGCATGGTCATACTGCGGGTGATATTGCCACAGCCATATCACCCTGCAGCCCAAGACCGGTTACTCGCTGAGCCAAGCCAGTAGCTGGATGGGAGACCACATGGGAAAACTAGGTTTCTGTTAGAATTGGTGTAAGAGAGGCCAGCAGGGAGCGTTCAACTTGCAGTCTGTGTGAGTCCTAATGCCCCAGTAAAATTAAAGGGGACATTACACTGTCAGTGGGTGCCGTCTTTCGAATGAGACCTTAAACTGAGGTCCTGACTCTCTGTGGTCATTAGTCCCTCAATCGGCCCTTATGATCATGGCCTCCCAATCATCCCCATCCACCGAATAGGTTGTATCACTGTCTCTCCATTCCACCTATAGCTGGTGTGTGGTGAGTGCACTAGCGCCGTTGTTCTGTGGCTGCCATCACATCATCCATCATGCCGTCCAAACCCAACCCCCCACCCCCCCCCCCACCCCCCATTTATTATTTTATTTAGAAGCGATACAGCTTATTTTCTACCTTTAATATGAAAAACATTTAAAATAACTCATTTTAACTCCAAAAGTGTAAGTTTTTTATTTTCACTTTTTTACTTTTTATCCAAAAAAACATGACTGTTTTAGGCAATGTGTGTTTTAATTTCAGTAATTCAACTTTGATGTTAATAAATGATCATATATAGTAGATAGAGTGTGTTTCCTTCAATTATTTTAAAATTAAGTAATGCACCCTTCATTCAAAAAATCTCTCACTTGTTATATGGGAGTATATTTACTGTCCAAACCTTGTCCATGAACTATAAGGGCAAAAAAATAAAATAAAGTAATCGTTCATTAATAGTAATCGAGTTAAAATGTTCAATTAATCGAGATTTTAGGCCAAATCGCCCAGCCCTATGTTGAAAGATGAATATAAAGTTTATAAATGGACATGCATTTAAGATGAGTGCTGAGACCACATTTCAGCTTTTAACAAAAGCTTTATCGAACCTAATCTTTCCATCAGAAATCTGCTTTATTACAGGCACTCAAGCAAAGCAAAGAACAGCAACTCTGCAGCGAGCATCACTTGTGCAAAGAGTTCAGAGTCTTCAGTGAGCACGACAGATGACCAAGCAGCAGGGAGGAGACCAGTCAAGTGCCAACAGTCTTAGATTCACTACATGGGCAGCAGAACACTAGTTTTATGCCCAGTCTGAAACAGACAAATGGATTGATGCTATTTGTGGACATCAGAATCAATATCTAGTATCCAGTCCTTCTGCACAACAATAACTACGCATGTACTACACTAATGAGCACTTTGTCATAAGCATTAGCGATGAGAGCAATTTCAGTCATAACGACCGCTTGCATAAATGAGCTGAGTACTTGGGCAAAAAAAAAGAGAGAGGAGCTTGTGAGGATGAAACAACATCCGCCTGCTCAATTTTTTGTATTATTAACCTGTCAGTCTTTGGCACATTCATCACACCTTACTTTTTTTTCCCCCTCAGCATCACACAGCGGATCTCATTCACCAATAACGCCTTAGCAGAATACAAATAAGAGAAGTTCTTACCAAAACTTTATTTGGGCATCAATTTGTTATCCTTTTTATGATGTTAATGAATTGGTTGTACTTTAAAAACAGCAGCTGCATGCCCAGAGTTAGTCATTTGCATAAAACGCAGACAAATATCCATAGGGCTTTATGCACAACTTTTCTTTTATAAGCATAAGCCACTCTAAGCTAATAGATGGTGCTTTCTAAAGACTCACCTGTAATAACCTATTTAGATGCTATAAATATATTTTATGCTGATGTCTGGTTAGTTACACTGGAATATCAGACCCATTTTCAAATTAAATTCAGGAACGATGTAAAATAGACTGCCGATAACCCTAAATCTAAATTTTAAAACAAAATTTTTTATTACATTATAACATGCTCATTACATAAATAAATATGTAAGAATAGTTAGAGGCATTCATTATAAACATTATTTATAGGGATACTCCGATTGATCAGCCAGAGATCGGTATCGGCCATTAAACGCATTTAATAACTCAATCGGTACTCTCTGATCTGGCCGATCTCATGAACCGATTGCAAGTGTTTGTTGGAGATGTGTAAAAAGATTTGAATGACCTTGCATGCATTTAGGCCTTTTTACAAACAAAAACTAAAAGTTCTGTGTTTTTGACAATATTGAAAGTTCACTAAAACCTGTCTGGAAATATTACATAAATATATATTTTAACATGAATATTTAATAATATAACTTCTTGTAATATACTTACTGCAATAAACAGTAATGTATATGCCTATTTCCTTTTAGTAAAGAAGTAATGGATTTATAGTGGGGATTTTATCTTCTTATGCATCAAATATGCACTTCTAACTTTTTCTTTACTTATACATGTTGAATTCCTACTCCATCATTTGCATACAAATTGCATTGTTTGTCATTTTTCTTACCAATTTGTTTATGTTTTATCAATGATTTTGTATATACTGTATCTGCTTCTGACCATTACATGTTCACACCTATAAGAGGCTATAAGAGACATGTTTAAGGGATTATATGCAGCAGACATAATTTATTCTCTGGGGTAAGGAGAGATCTCTACTTAAGTATCGTACTTAAAAGCGAAAATGTGCTTAATGTAATATGAAGTTTGAAGCATTAGAATCTGTATTCTGTAACAGATTTGTTAAGGTTAATTCGTAGCATTAAAAAGGTAACCAATGCAAAACAATCCCCAGTTTTCAAACCTAGAAATTTTATAGACCATTTCAATGTGGTAATGTCATTGGCCAATGAACATTTTCTGCTTGTTATCAAACTATTTTATACCTGTAACGAGACAATTTATTCATAACTTGATGTTATAACAGCTATCGTAACACTATTTATCAATATGTGGAACATCTTGGACTCTTAGAATCTTTGGAAATTTAAATAAATTTTAATAAATTAAAAAACGGAAATATGTCAGGACCGTTGTTATTGTTTACATCCCTCAAAATTGTAAGAAGACGTTTAAATTTAACTTGAAAGCATGAATGTGATGTTGGAACACTTACCTCCCTTACGGCCTTGCAGAACTCGCTCTGCAAAACCCTCTGAAGGGCTTGCAGCTTCTGGGGTGGCACTTCCCCTGTTCTCTGGAGCTTGTCCAGCAGCTCAATGGCACGAGATATGTCTGTAGAATAACATATGTAAGACCAAGACCATGGATAATCATTTGCATCATGCCATCTGGAGATGTTGTCTGTGGCTAAACAGCTTTCCCTGATAAATAAAACAACAACACGGACCGCAGATAACATTTTAGCAAATCCTTTCTTTATGACAAATATTATTGTTGTTGTTGTTGTTATTAATATTGCGCCATATATTGTATGTAACGTTACTAGTATATAATTTAACGCTACCCAAAAGAAATAATGTTTGTAAATAAAAACTAAATAACTTAAGAATGAAATTATTTACTATTATAATGCTACTTACCGGTTTCTTCTTGATTTATACAGATACATGTAAATATTAAGATAAAAACAGACGGTCATAAATCAGAGTTTTAGCTGATCTACTAGCCTAAGTTAACTCTACTGTGTATTAAAGCTTCAGTTAAACTCAAAATAAGTTGCTGACTATTAGGACGTCACTGAAAGACTTTACTAACCCCTAGAAATACTCAGATGCACTGATCTCTGACCTGAAGTGCCCATGCTAACAGAGCTCACAAAAGATTAACGCTTTTGACAGCTACCCTCGTGTTTTCCTTTCGTTGAACGTAAACTCACCGCTTTAACGACATATAAATGTCCGTATTGCACATTTTATACGTTTTGTGAACGTAGTTTAGTTTATAGAAAAACGTGTATGATCTCGAACGGTGAATTGATGCTAGCTCTCTGTCGAGCACTAATCCATCCTCACGAAGTGACAGCGGGAGAACAAAAAGCGTGATTTACACAACATCCTGCTTCACGTACGGCAGAAAGTGTCTCGGTGCGCGGCTTACCTCTTTCCAGACGTACAGGTTCTCCTAAAGAGGCCATTATAGCCCTGGTTGTTGAGTTTGCGTTTGGTGAAAGCTCCAGAGTTGCGACTCGGCGGCTGTGTTTGTTGCTGTTAGCTTGCTGAGCTTAAGCGTTGTGGCTAATGCACCGAGATTACGGATGAGCGTCAAGAGCGTCATTCCTGCGTTGCTTCCGCGCAGACACTTTGCATACCATAACAAACTGACTTTATTATGATTTTCTCAATGAAATTGGAATATATTATATATAATTTTAACATTAAACAATATATTTAAAGCAAATATGGACTGTTCGACTTGGTATTTTGTTTAGGACATCGAGTTTGACTGCATAAATTATTACAATTCAGATAGTAGACACGTGTAATAGGGCTGTTTTACTGTCAGTAATATGTTACTGGACTAGTTAAGAAAATAATGTTATGGCAGCTATACAGTGATATATGGTCAACAACATAACCCACGCTCAATTGGATAATGTATTAGCCAATCAGAATCCAAGGGCAGAAATATTTCCATACATTTTAAACCATATGAATGAATAGTTTATTCCAGGTAAGGAATGCATTTATATATGATGATTTATTTATTTATTTATTTATTAAATTTTTTTTTTACAATTCAGACTACAACTGTTTATTTTAGAAATCTTTAGGCACACTTTAGGGTATTATTTTTGGGTTATTTTGACATCAGATGATACATTTAAAAAACTTTAACAATGTTATCACATTACTATCAAGAAATATATGACTGTGTTTTCATTGTTGGTTCTGTTATATTAGTTACATGAAATATGTTTACTTATATATTATTTAAATAAAAATTATTTGTTGCTAATGCTAAAAAATGTTAAGATTAATTAATGCTTTAAAAATGTTTATTTTGTTGAAGTAATTAATGATAACAAATTACATATTTTTGTAAAACTATTTTTCTTAGAAAAAACATTTATAGAGGATACAAATACATATATATGACTTTGAAATATTAAATATTGATGACCAAACGGCACGTTTTTTTTTTTATCAAGCAAAAATAATTGTTGTACTTTTGTATTTTTTTCTTTTTTTTTATATTTCCCAAATTATGTTTAACAGAGCAAAGAAAGTTTTACAGCATGTCTGATAATATATCTTTTTCTGGAGAAAGTCTTATTTGTCTTATTTTGGCTAGAATAAAAGAAACTTTTATTTAAAAAAATAATAAAATTTAAGGTCAAAATTATTAGCCCCTTTAAGCTATATATTTTTTGATATACAGAACAAACCATCATTATACAATAACTTGCCTAATTGCCTAGTTAAATTAACCTTGTTAAGCCTTTAAATATCACTTTAAGCTGTATTGAAGTGTATTGAAAAATATCTAGTAAAATATTATTTACTGTCATCATGGCAAAGATAAAATTAATCAGTTATTAGAAATGAGTTATTAAAACTATTATGTTTAGAAGTGTGTTGAAAAAATCTTCTTTCCATTAAACAAAAAATGGGGAAAGATTTTTATTTTATTTTTATTTATATATATTTTTCAAATTATGTTTAACAGGGAAAGGAAATTTTCACAGCATGTCTGATAATATTTTTTTCTTTTGGAGAAAGTCTTATTTGTTTTATTTAGGCTAGAATAAAAGCAGTTTAAAAAATTTTAAACACTATTTTATTTTCACCAAAATAAATCAGTTATTAGAAATTAGTTATTAAAACTATTATGTTTAGAAATGTGCTGAAGAAATCGGCTCTCCATTAAACATTGAGGAAAAAAAAAAAAAAAAATATATATATATATATATATATATATATATATATATATATATATATATATATATATATATATATATATATAATTTGTATTTACTTTTTCCATATTCTCATTTTTTATTTGGACTGCCCTGCTTAAACAGTAATTTTATGAGTTTACTTGCTGTTATTGTGGAAAAAGAAACAGAGAATAGAGTGGCCTACTTCTGTAGCAAATGGGACAGGGCCCTGCTGGGTCTTACCAAGGACTACTTTGAACTGGGGAAAATCTGATCCTCACAAAAATAATGCAAGTTGTTTCTCAGATAAAATGCACCAGAAGAATGTTTTATTGTCCATTTCTTTATCTAGTCCAGTCACCATTGATTTATATTTTGCAGCTTCATATTTGTTCCTATAAGGTTAAGCAAACACTTACTCATTAAGCAAGGCTGATAGCTATTATTATGCTTTCATATCAATATCCTTGGGTACACAAATTTAATTTGAGTTGTGTTTCTGATAAAGGATGCACTTATAATCAGTTTTGACTTTCCGCCTGAGCATCCTTTATGGTCCTGCCCATGTGTCTCATGATGCAGAGATACTTACCATGAACAGATGAAACTCCTCCCTTATCTGTGGCAGTGTATCAGTGTCAGACAGATTTCTGTTCAGTTGTCTGATAACAACCTTTGAAGGAAAGCAGGTTTGTGTATAGGTCTGTGTCTGTGTTCAGGTGTATCAGATATCACGCAGAGTGCATTGGAGTGTTGACTTCATTGATCTATCCTACAGACAAAAGAAAATCCTAATCTCTTAGTGCTAGTGATGATTGCCTTCTCCCTCTGGACAACATTACATGAGAGACTGGTTTCCATAGAATTTACATATCAAGTCTTACCTGAGAACTTTCTAGAGTGTTTGTTGTTCCACAGAACACATCAGAATTTACATTGGATGGATGTGTTCGTCTGCATTTCTGGCTTTGAGATTTCACATTAGCTTGGTAATACGGATATAGACATACAGTTGAAGTCAGAACTATTAGCCCCCCTTTAATTTATTATTATTCTTTTTATATTTACCAAATGATGTTTAACAGGGCATGGAAATTTTCACAGTATGCCTGATAATATTTTCTCTTCAGGAGAAAGTCTTATTTATTTTGATTTGACTAGAATAAAAGCAGTTTTTAATAAAAAAAAATAATAATAATTTAAGGACAAAATTATTATCCCCTTTAAGCTATATAGTTGATAGTCTACAGAACAAACCATTGTTATAAAATAACTTGCCTAATTACCCTAACCTGCCTAGTTAACCTGGTTAAGCCTTTAAATGTCACTTTAAGCTGTAAAGAAATGTCTAGACAAATATCAAGTCAAATATTATTTACTGTCATCATGGCAAAGATAAAATAAATCAGGTATTAGTTATTAAAACTAATATGTTCAGAAATGTGTTAAAAAAATCTTCTCTCTATTAAACAGAAATTGGGGAACAAAGAAACAGGGGGGAGGCTAATAATTCTGACTTCAACTATATATGTTGAGAGGATGGGAAATAAATACTTATATACTGTAGTGTATATACTTATATCTATCATTATCCCTTTTGAAATCATATGAATGTAGGATCCAAAGTATGTTTGCCTGCGAGAGAAGATGTTCTCTGCACAGCATGTGCCAAATTTCGACCTGTAAAGGGAGAGCTCAAACTTTATTGACATTGGTTTTGTTTTTCAGTTGCCTATAGTAATTTTATTTCTTCAAATATTTCAATTTAATATTGCAAACAACTTCACAACATACAAAATGAATTATATTAATCCAGAACACATGTCAATGAATAAATTTTATATATATATATATTTTATATATTTTTTTTCATCTTGTGGGGATAAAAAAATAAACAGCAAAGCTTTGACAACAGCACCTTGACATAGTATGTATTTCCAACATTACCTTGAGAAGTTGAGGATAGTAAACAGACAGAGTACTGAGAGGAGGAAATCCTGTTACGGTTGAGAATGTAAACGGAATGTTTTGGTCGGAAACCGATTCCTTGTTTTCCCAAAGTGGACAGTTTTTCAATTCACAATTGAAGCAGCATGCAAGTTTTTTCTTTTTTTTTTCTTTTTTTTTCTTTCTTGAATGTAATTCTTCCTCACCCCCTCCTCTCCTCATCTCTCAAAATCTTGGCAACGTAAAAAACACAATGTCTTGAGGAATGTGATATAGTAATTTGAACTGGGCGCAAATGACTGATCAGATCTTTTTTTAATTGTTTACAAGGTCATGAATATGTTCAATAAATAGACTGTAGTATCACTTACTGTATAAACTTTTTCTTTTTTACATGCAGTCCATAAAATTTTTATCTGACTGAATAATTTACCCTGTTATGTATATACAAATAGATATTTTCTCTTTCTCTCTCTCTTTTTTTAGAACTCTCAATAAAATCTATACATTGTGTACACTATCTGCCCCTCTTAATGGTCAATGTGCATACACACGAAGTGTCTATCCGTATAAACCGCCAGCCGATCTTCCTTTTGCTATCCATGGTAAGGGCTCGCACGTAAGACTGGGTTGTCCGGCATTGCGAGTTATAGTGCCGCTTGTCTATTCCTCGGCAGCCCTCCTTTGTGTACCCCAAGGGGTTGCATTTGGTCTCGTAAAAGTATTGCTTCAGCTGACCATTAGTCACGGGGACCTTCTCCAGAACGGTGACCGTCTGGCCCGACATGTCTATTGCCGTCTTTTTGTCCACAGCTGTCACCCACTGGCTAATACTGTCACAAACGCTGAGCTCCCCCCGCCGTGCGGGGTCCGAGTGTCGCCGCACACGCATCGACATGTTGGCGGCATCCAGGTAGTTTTTGTATTCCTCCAAGAGAAAGAGTAACGGCGGCTCCAAAGGCACTTGGTTGCTGATCATCACCCGCGAGGCATACAGGTCAACGTCCTTCGAGTCTGCCGCATCTATAGGGCCGCCCCCTCCTTGGCCCTGGTCGGCCCCAGGCCCCAGTTGCTGCGTCGCTTCCCCTTCCACCTCAAGCAACTCCTCAATGACCTGCTCGAAAGTGTCCGTGAGCGAGGGCAGCCCGCCCCCACTCTGTGGAGTCCCGTGGCCTCGGCTGCCCGATGTGACGGCAGCGGCAGCAGCGGCAGCGGCGCCCAGGTAGCCCTCGGCCCGGTGGCCCCCCTGCACGCCCGGGATCTCTCTCATGGGCGCAGCTCTCATGCAACTGAAGTATGAAATAACCATAGTAACGAACAGGATGGTCATCACTCTTCTAACCTGTTGGAACTGGAGACAGCAAAAGGGGAAGGACAAGAGGGATGGGGGAGTGAGGAAAAGGGGAGGGGGGGACAGAAAACAAAATGTAAAACAACTGTTTTGCAAACAACATTGCATTAAACACTTCATTCATAATAAAAAAAAAAGGTTCTTATAGTGGCGAATCATTCCCGTGGCGCAATTTGAAGCAAAACACAAACACAACGTGCCAACTTGTTATTTCTTTGTTTCATTTTTAGTCTCATGCCCATGGGAGCGCAACTAACACTCTGTCCCTGCACATACACCTGCACGTTTGTGCCCCCTCCCCTTTCCAACACCAGCAAATACAGCAGGCTAAATTCAGAGACCCTGGAGTATCATTAGGAGGACACAAGAGAACTGCTCCCACTCTCCTCAGTCGCTCTTCCCCTTCTCTTCTTCCTCCTGATCCCTTGCCTCCTCTTCCGTTCTTTAAGAGGTCCGTGAACTGCTTATGTGAGAATAAGATGGAGCAGATATAGGGAACAAGTCCAACCCACCAAAAAAGAAAAAAAAAAATGACAGAACAACTTCTATCATTAAAGTTTGCTCGAGCAGTCCAAAATTGGAATAATTGTCATTTTTAATTGTGATGTTAAAATCCCATCATTATTTAACAGTGTATTTATTATCTGAGTCAGGGCTAAAGTTTATATGCTGCTTGAATGCATGAGAAAAAAAAAATCTAAACTTCTCTGGAAACATTGATTTGTAAGAAAAAGCCCACACACTACGATGCCACGCAGATGATTATCTTTTCCACTAAGAGAGTTTTAAACTGAAACAGAGATACAAAGGGACAAAGACAGATGAGAACAGACACACTACGACAACAGATAGCGACAGATAGCGATCAGAGAGAGGAGAGATGCAAAGAGAGCTGAAAAAAGACGCCATTCATTCATTCATTCATTCTCTCATACCTGCACACACTACCATGCTCTAGTCAATGAAATTTTCCCTGGCTGCAAAATGTACGCAAACAATTTGAAATTCCGGTGAGTCTATGTGATTCCTCATCTCTCCCTGCACCTTTCTCTTACCTCTCTGAAGTCCCTCTATGAGTCACTGCGATTCATTGCATCCAACAGCATCCCAGTGCATACGAACAGACAGGGGATCATGCACACATAACAAAAAAAAAAGATACCCATTACTCTCACTTTTCTAAGGCGAAGGAGAGGGGGAGAGGTAGGGGTGGGGTAAGGGGGATGGAGAGGAGGTGCATTTAAAAATATCCAGCACCGCAGCAAGGCTTCGCCAGTTCTCTGCGTGCTGTCCTCCCGATGCCCCACGCATCCTCAGGAAGAGACAGGGGGAGGATCCGCTCCCAGAGCAGAAGGCAGTGTGGGCCGGCAGGAGTGAAGGAGGGACACGCCCTGTCTAAAAGGCATTTGTTTCATTCTTAATTGGTGTCTGGGGCCATGACTGCGATTTGCTAGCGCAGTGATGACTGCCATGGAGATGTGCGCTCTATAAATAGGCCGGTTGGGAGTCCCACAGTCTCGATTGAGAATATCACAGCCCTCTGCTTAATGAGCTCAAAGTCCCCTCGCTCAGTGACGTCGGCAGTCCACGAGGGTTTTGTGTGTATGTGTGTGTGTTCGGTACGGGAGATGAGGTGGGAGCATCTTTAATCTCTGCTCTCAAATGGTCAAAAACAAGCATGGAAAAACCCGGAGCCGAGGATACAGCTGTGGAGGACAGATCAATCTTAATCAAATCAGGCAGGGCGCAAAATGTGTGTACAAGCTGCTTCTGCAGGCATGAAAAGATACTTCAGTCTGTCAGCTTTCCCCCGTAATGGAAAAAGCTTCTTACATTGTCAGCAATTACCTCTGCTGAATATAGCGAGGAATTTAAAGTGCCTGCCTGAGGATTATTCAATGATTCTGTCTTATTTCATTCCTCCAGATGTGGCGTGCCTGCGAGGACGGATGGATTATTGTCAACGTTCCTACTCTCAAGACAACCTTAATGTGGGGTTTACGCACATACAGAGAAGCACAACCCAGTAACCGCCCCAGTTTCACCATGATCCCAATTAGGAAACATCTGTCGTCTCCCTAATGAGAGAAGTATTTATATATATTGCAGAGGCTTCTGAATGAAATACCAGCATCAGTCATGCTGACACCCAAATCCCTTCTGTTGCCCTACCTGACAGCAGGTGGAGTATATGCCATCTCTCATCCAAATCCTGCCAGTAACACATAACCTTAAATATTCCACAGACCTACATGGCTTGGAGTTTCACATAAAAGCACTGAAGTAAGTTATTCTTGAATTTCTGAAAGCTGACTACGCCGGCTAAATTGTATCTTTCCCTCCTAATTAGACTAGCGCACCGGTGTGTAGTTGTGCGGCAGGAGATGGAGGCCAAGAGCACAACAACCCTGATGACGTCTCTCTCTGGTCTCTAAGGGGCTTGAGAGGAAAAGGGCGGTGGGGCTAGAAGAAGTGGTGCTAGGGGGCAGTGCCACTCATCAGCTTGCAATTGCTTTCCATTTTCCTCTGGGGTCGCTTCTCACTAGGAACAACAAATGATTTTATTTCTAACTCTGCTATTTCCTGTTTCCATCAAGAGAATCAATATGGATTATGCTCTCAATCAACTTCCTGTTAAAACGTAATCTAGACGATGAATCACTTTATTGCTCTGGGACTGAGTTGGCAATAACTGAAACCTTCTGTCTCATTCAAAGCATCGAGGGAAGACGAGATTACCTTGACGGACATGTTTGTTCTGCTTTTAATATGCGTGTATTTGAACTGCTGATGATAATGCGCTATCAATATCCTGTCATCATATGGTATGATGTGCAAACATGACTATGTTTGTGTACACACGACTACAGGTGCCATTGATGGGTCACAGAAAGCGTGGTACAGTAGTAGTTGTCAAAAAAAATTTATCTAGTCACGGTTTCAGGTGTTTTAATGTCCAAATTGAAAAAGACGCCTTTCATGGTTGATGCTAAGATAATCCGCTCAACAGTCGTGCAAACAAAGCTGCTAATTCATGCTCTTTGTGTCCCGTTTGTTAGATCTTTGAAGACTGGTTCATCATGAGGCATTGAAAATACTACATACAAGGCTTCCATCAATCAAACCTCTCACACGAGAAAGCAACCAGCCTTCGCTGATCTTTCAAGCTACAAAGTAAGACACAGAAAGCTTGATGAAATACTACAACCGCACAGCTGTATTTGATCCATATGGTCGGGCTTGGTAGGAGCACGTTCAAACACCTTTCACTGTAAAACAGGATTGTACTTTAATTGGGCATGAGTGGCAGCTACGGTTTTGGCAGAAAGACTACATGCACCTGCTCAATTGTTTGGAGAAGGGCAGGTAGGACAGGGTAGATTGGTCTGCATGATCCTGATTCTCCCACAACTCTATTTGTTTAAATCTCCATACCATAGAGGGATTATGACAGAAAACCACTAATGACAGATGTCTACGGTTCTTCTAACTTAAAAGTACTGCGGTAACAGACACTTTTCTATTAGCCTTACCACTCTAAAGGAAAATGAGAACAAAACATTTATTCCTTAGGGTGAAAGATATCTTAAAATGCACTATTAAATATTTGAAAAGGACAACAAAGGGTAGAGGACAAGAAAAATTTTTGAATCGCTTTGGTGAACTTGTCAATGACAAGAAAACTGTAGCGTGCATCACTTAAGCTCACACAGGTGCCTCAGCTGTTAATTATTATTCTGACTTTGACAACACATCAAACTGTGGATTCCATAACAGTTGCAATCTGACATCAGTGGTAACACAACAAAAGACAGTCTGCTGTTAAATATAAAGTTTTCAACAAGTAGGCTAGAGTTGGCTCTAGATCACAAAGTTTAAGACCTCTTATCTTGTCTAAATTAAACTACACAAATAATGTTAGACAGGCAAGTACATAAGAGTGACCCAAATGCTTCAGAACTGCAGCAGTGTATATTTTTAGAAAAAATAAATAAATAAATATATATAAAAAAAATTATATATATATATATATATATATATATATATATATATATATATATATATATATATATATATATATATATATATAAATTTTTAATTACGCAAATTCTTAAAACTACAAAAAGTTATACTAGTAACTACCAAAACAAAACAAAACAAATTATAAAACACTACAATGATATTCTTTATACTGAACATTTAGACACTGTAGTTCATAATAATGTAGTCTGTCGAAACGAAATCGATTTCTTGACAGGTAACCATAACAACTGTGCGTTGCGCAGGCGCAGAATGTTTGGTTTCGGTTGGTAAGTCGAAAAGAATAACAATTTTACACTTAATATCTTTATAAATCATTTATATGAAAATAAATATTGTTTTTAAAAGCGTTAGCTATTTAACATTTGGGTACTGCTGGCAATTTGCGTAAAACAAAACTCGACGTTTAGCACACAGAAATGTAGGCCTAACTTTACGTCTGGTACTTTTAATTCCTCTAAAATATACTCATTTACTAAAATTTTCTGAAAGGCAGAAGACAAAGACAAATTAAACATTAGTGCTGTAATAATTTATGTATACGGCTCGTCTTTTGTCGTAAGAAGAGACAGGGCAACACATGGCGAACTAAATCCGCTGGTGAAATATCTGCTTAGATTTGCTACTTTGTATGTTAGGCTAGACACTTTGTTTTCTTTTTTGAACTTTCTAAAGAATTAGAGTACCAGCCGTTTTAAAAGTCTTAATCCATCGCGGTGTGTCCAGAGCCATTATAGTTAGCATAGTCAGAGTTTCTACCCTTAAAAAAGTTTTGTCAGGAAGAACATCATTTTCTCAAAACAGCGGCACCACACATCCATCCTTTTACTCCTTAACAGGCTTTACAACACTATTACGCTAGATGGCGCATTCGTCTACATAAAGCTCATCTGAAGTGAAGGCTAGGAGAGAAGCAAAGACCATTGGAAACATCTTTCTCTTTCTATCATAAACATTCACTCACACACAGAGAACGCGGTTTAATAGGATACCATAAGTAAAGGCCTGTTTTCTTTGCATACACAATGCTAAATTAACATTAATCGTCTAAAATATTAACATAATATTCTATTAATATATTTACTATGTAATAATCACAACATTGACTATATAAATACTAGATTAACCGCAAAGCAACTTTACTACAAAGTAAATTTGTATTTTGGGGAAACGAAATCAACTGCCTATGATTTAGTTTTAGCAATTTTGCCCACTTGGCATTCAAAATCATCCCAGGACCACATTAATCAGTTAGTTTTTAATCTGAAAACTTTATCTTCGCTTTGGGACTTTATCTGTTCCAGTGGAAGGCTAGACTCTACACGGTAAACCTAAACGATGATCTCAGGTTTCATGTTCTTCAAGTCTCATTGAATTCACGAAATGCGCCTATTCACTGTACGTTCGCACAAATAGTCTTATTTTTTGCTTAAACTATAAACAATGCGTCCATATGAGTAAATATATTGTAAATGGCAATTGTTAATACTTTTACGCCTCTAACAAGTTAGATCACCAAAACATCCACATCTATACAGTAACAAAACAATAAAGCCAACTATTAAAGTTGAAGAGAATAGTTTATATCTGCCAGGATAAACAGCTGATAGCCCTATGTACTAAACAAAAACAACTTGGTTCCACTGACCCCTATCAGAAATCCAATCAACATAATAACGCCGTATCTTATTAATGAACGCGAGGATAGCGTTTCATGTTGCCGTTGCATGATCCAACACTTGATTACTTTTTCTTAACTCCACAACAGACGTAGCACAGTCGATAGGCTACAGAACCCCCATTAATAATGACTCCTTTCCGCACAAAAACCTACCTTTACTGTCCAGTCGTAAAGGAGACCATTCAGCAGGACAGTGTCATCTGGGATGTTTTGGATAAGACCTCCGCGCAACTATTCTGCGATATTCGTCCGCTCTTCGCCAAGCAGCAGCTGCAAGTTGTCTCTTCAGCTTTTGAGCAAATAGATTAAATTATTGATGGTGGAAATTGCATGGTTGAGGTAATGGACTCCCATGACTGAGCGGATCCTTTGGAGTTGAGTTGAAGCAGTTGGATGACATGGTGAGCGCTCGCAGTGTAGTGCGCATTGAGAGAGCTCTCCAGCTTGAAATGACGGCTTCATTCCTCGCGACTACAGTAACTAACTACTGCCGTGACGTTGCAACATGTGACTCAAGCGCGAGCGCCAACCAAGTGAAGGCTCAGATGCTTATTCCTAACGAATAACCGGAAAGTGTGTTATTATGGCGTTTACCGAGCAACATATGACAGAAACCTATTTTAATTCCTGGACATATAGAGGCTTGGGGTGATTTTAAACGCCCATCGATTTTTAAATCATCGCATTCTTTTCTCGAGCAGGCTTCTCCTGACGACCACTGAGTTAGTGTGGGCTTTTGACATTTTTGTTCACATTCTTCGTCATTACTGATGAAGGTATATATAAAATACGATTCCTTTGTGTGCTGATACAAAGTGAATCTCATACGCTTATGCGTATGCTTGTGCTGTTTCATGTATATATCCGTTTGGTTTGATGTTTCGTGTTGTTTTCCTTGACTATTTGTATAAAGACATGAGAAATTAGCCTAGCTCTAGTGAACACCTGTTTTGCTTCACGTAGCTACAGCTTTGTATAATTGGCAAAATTATAATTTATATGTTATTTCACTTGCCTGTAAAACTGTAAATTATGGTTTTAAGTTATTACATTTGCCATCTAAATCACTTTAAATTCACTGTCTTAGCTGCGAACAAATGCTGCACCAGCATCCTAATGGACAGCCGTTAGGTTAATCTGAAACACCTTTTTGTGACAAGACTATAGATCATCTGCTGAAATTGATATTTGCAATTGTGACTCCACAAAGGTAGCTTCAAAGTAAAGAGCTCACTCCTTGCTCCCACCACATCAAGGTCCTATTATTCCCTAGTCTTCTCTGTATGTGATATTTTAAACTATTGTCAGGTTTGAGCCCCCCGTCTGCCAAAGGAGCTTATGTGCCAGATGTTGGCTGGTTCATTGATTTTAATACTATTCATTGTTCTTCCGGTGTCAGTTCTATTCCTCTGATAACTGGGAGTGGTTTGTTTGATTTTTGTAAACGGTCAAACATGTTTAAAAACATAGAGGTGATATAATGTTGCTCTTCAACTGTGGCTTTATTGTTTAATTCTTATTTAACGTGACCTTCCTGGAGAAGTTTAGCAAAAGCATTCCTTGTTCTTTCACCCTATGCTTCACCACATCATTAGCCCCATACTTTCACCAAGCTGCAAGTGCTTTTGGATCTTGTCCAGTGCAAGATTTATATTGATGAGTTTTGTGTATAGTGATGATGATTATTCCCTGCATAAGGTAATGAGGTGGAGCGGTTTCAAACCTAGCTGTTCCCAGCATGGGAGTGGATGCTAACACCTGCCTTCTCACACACACTTACACACACTCGCACACATACACACACAAACTCCCTCTTTCTTTACTTATTTCCATCTCCACCTTTCTGTTTCTTTGTCACCTCATCTTCAACCTTTTTGCACTGCTACACATGAACACTTTCAAATATAAAATTATACAAATATACTTTCACCTTCACTCATTTTGACATACTCGCACTTACAGTCCCCTTCCTCTCTCCTATAGGGACAAGCCAAGATGAATATAACTCATCCCATAGGTTCACAGGAGGAGAGGGCAAACCCTGGATGACAAAGAGTTGCATCAGCAATTACTGAGCGACATGACTCCAAGAGAGGTAAAACACACACACAGGCGCGCGCATACACACACACATACACTCATGCACACTCTCACACTGTGCATTAGGGCTGTTCCAGCTAGGTAATCCATAAATAAATCACTCTGCTTCTCATTAGGAGCACAAAAACAACATGGATCCCATTCAGAACTGCACATACAGCACAAAGTTGACACCACCACCACCACAGACAGAACTAAGATAACCACAAAGTGGACATATGGACTAATGAGAATACAGCTAGAGATGAACTGTGGGAAGACCTTGACTTTCATTGGTTGCAACTTTGTGGAAACTGTAGGGTCCATGAAAACGCAGTATGGACAGTACCGCTGAAACTTGACCATCAGGGTTCAAGGTGTTGAATGTTGAGAGAGTCGGAGCGGCGTCAGAAGCGATGGCCGTGTCTCTATCCAATAGGTCGGGTCGCTAATGACGTCACCTCAGCTTTCTCAAAAACTCGCCCACTGTTGTCTTGTCCGTTGTTGAATATTCCATCCTGGAGCAGGTCTTCCACATAATGGCAAAATTGAGTTTTGAAGTTGCATTATGACACATAACAAAGCATCAAGTTAGAAGAGATCTAGACTCTGTACAAACCTGAAATGGTGGAATAGTTTCCACTACTGCAGAGCAGGGTAACAAAACTTTTAGGGTGGCAAAACTTGCAGTAAAATGGATGTGATAGCTTCTTAATAATCACTAAGAGAGAAAGTCATTTATCACACATCACAGAGCACATTAAAGTGTACAATGTCATTTCTAACCATCGCACTGCAATGGAAAACAGAGGTAAACCACTCAAATACACTCTTAAAATATAGATACAATGTCCTTGATGATCCAGTGGAGAACCTCTGACATCAATGTAGTCTTTCTTCATTGTATAATAATAGATTACTTATACTAAAACAATGATTGCGTGTTAAATAAAATATTCTTTATACCAAGATAATTATCTTCTTTTACTCTTCATTGAAATTAAAGCTCTTTGTGGAACGAAAATTTTTCTTTTATAAAGCATCAATGCAAAAAAGTCCATATTTAAGTCTATATTTTGAAGAGTGTATATAAGTGTTCACTAACATTTCTCACATAACCCAGCTGTCAACAAAAATATGAATGACTAATGTGAAAAACCTGTTATTCATGCAGCATTTTTTTAAAGAGTCCACGTCAATGATTTAGTGTTGTTTAGTCTGCAATGTCGAGTGTACGTTTAAGTATGTACACTTGTTCAAGTGGGTCCAGTCTTTCCATTTTGTCATAGCATCGAAATGAGTGAGTCACTTTGTGGAACTCAAGTTTGCCCATTCCTGGGTGCCTGTCTTTGTTTCTCCTGCTCTCTGTCTTTAGGGAAGGGAGCCTGGGCAGTGCTTTATGTGACATCACATCACCGTCTCTCATCAGCACACTGACGAATTGCGCAGTGCTCATCTCTCCAACAGCAAGATGCAACAGGTTCCTGCTATCAATAAAGGGCCGGTGGTGGTCAGCAGCGGCCAGCCGTGTAAGATAAAGATCTTAAAGTCTTGACTTATAGCAACTACACTATAGGACTACACACTTAGATATCCACTTTAGCACATAGACACAATGAGCTATACAATCCATGTAACTGTAATCCATCCCTAGCAGCATACACCAGCTACACTGGTAATGTATCCGTGGGGTATAAGCCCTCTGCTGCACTTTATCCCTTTGTACACACATCCTCTGGTAATCTAGCCTTTTGCTTGCCCAACAAACCCTTATGTGTCAAGGGTGAGTATATTTACATAATTAGGTAGACAGTCCTTGTCATGCACTATTGTAGTCTGTCACTTCATTAATAGTTTGAATAAACATTTCAAATATCGCTATTTTAATATTGAACAAAGCCATCTAAAAGAAAACACCATCAATAGTGCGCTATTTGCCAGTTGCGAGCCCAAAACGACATCGATTTGCTAGTTGGTGGTGAAAATTACGATGAAAGATTAAGAACTTCACTAAGTGTCCGCGAACAATGAAAATCACCATACAAAGCAGTCAGAGAGAAGCTACAATATAAATGACCTCTAAGAAATGTTAAACATTTGACTGTGGAAAAAACATGTAGCTTTGTCCAACCTGCTCACGATATTACGTACAAACAGCATTAAGCAAGTCTATCAAAGTCACGTAGAAACAAACACTTTGGGATGCCATTCTTAACCGTTATCCACGGAGGCAAATTGCAAACAAGTTAGAGAAGTCCTGCATACACATACCCAAGCATTGACGTTGGCGAATAGTTTGAGGATTCCTTGGCGGAGCTTTAGTTGCCAGGCACCAGCACTAATGCTGCTCTGTAGCTATTCACATACAGAGAGGCAAGTGCCACTCCATTTTATATCAGTGAGTAAAGCACACAGGTGGGTGGCAAACAACTAGCAGAGCTCATCATACAGACAGACCCTGTCAAACTGTTTAAACTTAGATGAATATACATGCTGGAGGTCAAAAATATAAATACTGCATATGCCATACACATATTCACAGACAAACAAACACCTCTTTACACAAACAACAAACACAACAGGTTTACAACACCCTAAATAGCAAAGTTATTTTGCTTTACGTTTCAATACACAATCAGCGTCATTTACATGCAGATTATGAAGGAATTACACCTTAAAATGTAGATATCACTCGACCTCTTGCAAAATGAGCGCTTTGCGCTAGAGCACCGCAAGTCACGCTCTTGCTTGGTGTTGAGCGCGCGCCCAATTCTCCAGTCTCTTGAGGATTTCTTGTGCAAAAAACGCAATCGGAGGTGCTAATAGACTAATGTCTTTCGAATTGTCCAAATAGCTCCACAAACACAGAATAATTATATGCATGTAGTATGCATAGAATAATTATATGCATGTAGTAAATTTTCATTCTTAAATATGCAATATATTACAATTATAATTAAACTTAATATAATGATGATGATTCTTTAAAATAGTTTTTACTGTCATTCTCAAAATTGTGAGACTAGAAAAAAATATATTTTCTAGAGGGTGAATGAAAGAAACGGACCTTTTCCTTTTTCGCAATTGTGACGAGCACACGCTTTTATTTCCCAGAGGAACTCAGCATATTCAGTAGGCCTATAATAAATTCCTCCCGCGAGTCAAGCAGGGCGCAGTAAGTCTGTACATTACTATAAAAGTTAATTAAGAAAGCCGCGCTCTGTACAGGCTACAAAACGATTTTTATAGTATTTATTTTGTAAATATCCCCTGATCATCCGCGGCGGTCAGTCAAACGACAAGGAAGGAATCGCCGATTAAACTGTAAAAATATAATGCCACATTATGTGTTGTCTGAATTAAAACCTACCAAGCTCAGATTTGTTATTGACGCCCACCTTTAACTCTGCAGCGATCAGAACGGAGGGGAGGGGGGCGGAGAGGGAGATTCTCAGCTAGATAACACAACCCCATTTATGGACTGATCCGATGACGTACATTGCAGAAAGTTCTATAAAAAACCTTCCGTACATACAAAGTGTGTCGTGCCATCCCCCAGCACCCCCCACCCTCCCCGCATCCGCCTCCAGCCCCCCTCCCCCCGCATGCCCACACCCACACCACCAATCCACATCTCTATTCCTCAGTCTTATGAACTAAAATAAATTAAATAAATTCACGTTGAAAATAAAATGTGCATTCAATAAAGGAAAACACGACTCACATTAGTATAAAACCACCAACAAATTATCATTTAATGATAGCATTTCATTTAAGACAAAGCTAAAACAAATACAGCAATTCTGTGTATGTGGGCATTTCAGAATTTAATCATTCACCACTATATTATTTTGCTAACAAAAGCCGACATTGTTTCGTTGAAAAACATACAGCTTAAATTGTGCATTAAATACTTGCTTATTAAAACGGCGCTCGTGACCGTTTTGACGCACGTCAGTAATGATGTTGTTCATTACATTTAACCAAAAATGACAAGAGCATTACGAAAATTACAGTGACAAAACAGCGACAGTTACAGCACCAGCTGCTATTATTTTCGGGCTAGTCCAAAAGCATATGCCGATTGTCCCGTTTGATTTATGTCACTTAAAACGAGACATTCGATACATTGTTTTTTGTGTCAACAGAGATCTACTCAATTACACGATTATCAAAAAGAAAACAAATGTGTAATAAAGAAATTACCGATTTGGCAGTGTTGAAAGAAGCTAACGCAGCCGGACAAAGAGAAACAGTCCTAAGGATCATTTAAAAGCAGCTAAAAGACACTGAACGTCTTACGCATGATAGACTCTTGATTAACGCAGTGTTGAGGCGCCCGTGGGCTTTCATATCTGTCTGTTTGTCATTCAATCGCTTCACCCTTTAATCAGATTCTTGGATACAAAGGAAAAAAAGCGACCGTATCCAATATCCTCCGCACATCCCTCTCAGAAACTGAGACGAATTCCTAAACTTAGTCGGCATAAAAGTCAGAAATTCATCAGCGAAAGGCTCCTTTAAAACGCTGACTGTCCTAATTTCGTCTCAGTCTTGCACGGCTTTTCTTCAGTTTTCTCCACAATACGCGTGACACCCTCTCAGCCATTTCCTTATCAGGCAATCTTATCGGTGGCTCCATCTAACCCAGTCTGAACAAAATCTGACCACGCCTATCCAAATTCTTATTCACTTTAACTGGAAATATATATGAACACACACACGCACACACACACACATTGTTTTGGCCATCGGGCTATTTTTGGCGAGGCAATTCAAAATACTTTAACATGATATGTTATCTGTGGCGAAAGCTTTTAGCTCTAAGTGGTTCCCAACTGTTCGGCGTGTGCACAGACAGACCTGTGCGCTGGGGAGCGAGATGAGCAGGTGATGCTGGAGGAGAGGAGTGGAAATCTCGGGATGAATGAAACGGAGAAGCGGTCCGTAGTAAAAACACTAGCAATATGTCCACGATGACGAAGTGCGGAGATGCTACAGACGCGATTAGTTTGATAAGGCTGGTTGCACCACTTTAGGATCGATTCAACGAATAAATTATCCCTCCATGCTAACGAAAACAACATTTTAGCTGATCAGAAAGGATGACGAGAATGACAGCTAAACCGATAGATAGATAGATAGATAGATAGATAGATAGATAGATAGATAGATAGATAGATAGATAGATAGATAGATAGATAGATAGATAGATAGATAGATAGATAAGGATCTTTTCGATCTCAGCAAGACAATAAGTAGGAGGTAGCTCGTGCTGAGTCGTATATTTTATTAAAGACATGCCCCATTATTCAGCAAGCAAAGAAAAGCGTGCGCTAGACAATTGCGCATTAAATACAACAAGAATTCCGCAAGCATTTGATTATGATGAGGACGGAAAGTGAGCTTTTACGCACTTGCATGTACTATTTATTTGTGTTGCTTTAAAATGACAACTCATATTAAATATGTGCTAAATGTGGCAACTGTAGATATAGAAAAAAGCATTAGTCCGTTTCTGTGAATTTGTGACAGAGCTGTGACTGGTAATTGAAACAACTTTCTGACCGTTTTCTGCTATAGTCATGGTGTAAAAGCATACGGACAAAGTAGAAGGAACATGTAAAATGATAACGTAAGTTTAACATTTCCCTCATGACTCACGTCTTCTCTCTCCCATCACAACCCAAAGCTTTTCCTCACAGCGTTACATTTTCTCTGTCCGTAGAGTTAAAATGCAAAAAGAGGATCAATTTCGCTATGTACAGATAGATAAACATCTGCCCGAGAAGGGGCTGCTAGTAAAGTGGAGAATAAAACAAACAGGTCTTACCTTTATAAGAGCTGACAACCACTATCAGTGGTTAGATCTCCAAGACCAACACTTGCATTTCCCAAAGTTAACGCTGTGCACCAAGTGGAGATTGCAAAGTACGAGTACACTAGCAGCTCTACGATTTCAACTTTCACATGCTCTAAGTGGCGACAAAACTCCAAGCGCAAAGTAAGCAGCCCCGCTATCGACTGATGCTTTTCCTCGCGTTTGTTTGTTTGTTTTGTTTTCTCACGGGTCTCCCTCCGAGAGCAAAAAAGAAGGAAAAAGTGAAACAATCCCTAGCTTTGGCAAAACACAAAAGGCGAAGTCCACTCACTCCGTGTTAGTCCGCAGCGTTCAACGACTCCCGGTGCCTCTGTCCAAAGTGCTGAAATCATAGCACAGCTAAGGTTACTTAGAGGCAAAAATCTATACTTTCGTTAAGTGCCACTTGATATTGCTTTACTCTATTGCTTCCCCACGCCTTGTCACGTGAATATATCCTTGGCAAGCCCGTCCTGTTAATATTTGATCACATGTTGGCCGGTCGTTTTCTTAACAAAAGAATCACTTATCTGAAAAGTCGCTCATAACCCTCTAAAGAGGGGTCCCCCAAAAGGCTTGCAACCCGTGTCCCCAAATCACACAGTAATAGCGCCTTGGTGCTCTGCTTTTGTCCTGCAGGGCAGATGGACATGTCTACACATGTTGCCTTTTTCACTGAGCACTTGTAAAAACGACATTTAGTATAAAGGCTAAAAGCCCAACAGGCATCAAAGCGCAGATTGGCACACAGAGCAACAAAGGCAAAACCAATTAGAATGTATATTCTCTACGGCTGCGTTTGCTTTACTCGGATTTTCCCCCTCTATCTACGAATCCCAGAAAACAGCAGCATTACAAAGTTTTACATTCACGTTAGCAAAGCCGAACCCTCGATTAAGTAGCCTTCAGCGTTTGGGTCCATAAGCACGAGAGCACTCGTATATGTCGTGCATCATCAAAATCTGTTCTTCTGAAAGCAACCCTTCAGTCAGTGTAAACACAAGCCATGCCTTTTGGAGTAATTATTCCTTTAAGTGTAGTATTTCCATGCAACTTACCATTTTCCCCTATGCTGTCCTGGAGATAGAAGTGTCTTAATATCCACACACTCCAACAGATGCTGGTAGGTAATGTGTCTTGTTTGAAGTCATCATATGAGAACTTCTGCCGTGCTCAGAAGATCGCCCACCACTTGGGTGACTTATGAATCTAATAACCCTTTGCAATATCCTCGTGCTTAAACTCTCTTACACCTTGGCGACTGTGCCGAGAGGACAAATAGAAACCAGTCGCGATTTACCCAAAACCCCTATACAGATTTACGCAGTGCCCTCGCTCAGAGAAACGCCGTTAGTGCTCTTACGTGATTGAAATAAGCGAAGGCGGTCAAGTTTAGGTGGGAACTAAACTGACCAGCAACTACCCCGAGACGCTGGCTGAAAATGAATGACCATTAGAAAAGTTGCGCATCCAAGACAGCAATGTGCACTTTTTTTTCGCGCGTCTCTGCGTGCATTGCGCGTGATATGTCAACATTACGCGAAGCCTACAGTTCACGACATTTTCAATCTGGCTGTTTTCCCAGCTGAGGGAGATCAGGTAAGATTTCACAATCTTATTTTCTGCCAAGTAGGACTAAGTTCTCGGGAGACTTGTTGCTGCTGCTGCAAAGCTGTGCTATTGAAAGCCAAACAGAGGAAAAACATTGTTTTAAGTACCATACTTACATCTGTGCAATACAGTTTTGAGCTTCGTTATGTGTGTACTATAGCAAATGGAAAAAAAAGCTGAATCCTCCTCAGTCTTGAGGCACGATGTCAACTTAAATAAATGACAACGTTATTTTCCCCCGTACGCCTTTATCTTGACCTAAAGTAGGGAATGGAAGTCACGAAATCCAAGTACGACCGTTTCTGTTATCAGTAAAATTCCATCAGAGCACGAACACTAATCTAATTGTTATGCAGTGACGAGGCGCTATGCTTGGATGTGTTCAAATGTGCTGAAAAGTAACATGAGTAATTGGTGGTATTTACCCGCATATGAGCCAAGATTCGTTCGAGCCCGATAGTTGTAAAAGACATGAAACGCTATTGTATTTATAACTCACAGCAACAGTAAACAGTATGCTTGGACCACAGACGACACGCACAGCAAACGAACTGGAAGCAAAGAAAAGGAGAAAAAGTTTAAAAGATCAGTCAACAGACCTGTTTCTCAGATAAACCTCTCCTCTGGTCAGCATCAACAGACATTGTGTTCCCATAAGTCTAAGTTCATTCATTCATTCATTCATTCATTCATTCATTCATTCATTCATTCATTCATTCATTCATTCATTCATTCATTCATTCATTCATTCATTCATTCATTCATTGTTCCATTGATTATTGCCCTAAACAATGAACATAGCAAACAAAATCTGACTGACTTGGATCTTATAGTGGGATTAATTAATCCCTTCATATTAGGCAGGGCATTAATTCAAACAGATTGGCTCTTTTTCTTGTCTTAGTTTTTCTCGTCATGGCTTTGCTTTTGTTTAAGAAAGACTGATTACACACAACTGCATTTCTCATGTCTGCCTGTCTTTCTAGAATATATTCCAAGTTTAAGAAGTAATTCCCCTAGTTTTCCCAAAAGTTTTAAAAATCACTTTTAATGTAATTTCTGTGTCTTTACGTACAGAATAAGTTATGATGATATGGACAGCTGTTTCTTTACTAAAGCTGAAACAAAACAATACAATACTGTTTTGGTGACATAAAGTACCTTGGGCAATATATTCTGTTAAATATGTATTTATTCATTTGTTTTTATTTATTTATAAAAATTTTGTACATTTGTGACTGAGCTTCCCGCCTCACATTCATCCCTGCGTAACTCGTTTTGCTCTTGCAGGTCTTGCTGCACTGCAGACAAACATGTACTAGTTGTCCATGATCGCATGTGGATCAACAATGCTCTCTCCCTCAGGACGCATTGACAAACATGGGCATTTTTGAAGAATGAATGTCTAAAGGTTGACAATACTGTCAGGGGTGAGTATATTTAGTGGAGTATATTTCAAATAAAGATCCTCAAGTCGGATAAAAAAGAGTTATGTTGCTTGGGGATAAGACCCTTGAAGTGGTCATACAGAATAAAATACCACCTCAACTGATGAAAAGCGTACCTCCTCTGAAGGGGTCAGGGTCAGTTCTGAGGACACCACACTGATGGGCTTCTGAATGTCTAAACGCAACATCCAGAACCTCCTTCAGATTAACCCGTCATCACTTCCTCTCCTTTCTCAAAGCTGCATCACTTCATCACTTCAGTCTATTCTTCCTCTCCTCCGTTCTTTCAACGCTCCTACAGTTTTCACAGGCTCCCTGGATGACTCACATGCGGCCCTCTGCACCACCTCTGCCCTCCCCCGTAACTCCAAAACAGAGATACCCAGAACCTCACACTACAGGTCAGTCAGACCACCACAATCAGCTCCTACTTAAGACCACACTCTCATCCGGCACCTTTAATTTTGGCTTAGTTGTACATTTAAGCACCTGAACCGCTGTTAATATTTTCCAGCTACATACACACAGTTTTATATCCATTTATATTTATTAGTCTGCTTAAGTCCAAATGATTTTCTTTGCCAAATGATTTTCTACCAGTAGAATAATTTTAGATATTTGTGTGGTGTAGTGGAGAAAAGTCAGAAAACAATAGCAATATGAAAAAATGGGTGTAGAAACTATTGTCACTCAGAAATTGCTAGTAAATTTTTCTCATAATTACAATGAAATGACATAAATCCATTTAATTAAATAAGGATTTTTTAAAGCAGAAATATAGGAAATAATAAGTAGCATCTGGTATAATGTATTGCAGTAATTTAAGTTTCATTAACAATCATTTTACAACCTCTCTTATGCATTCACTTTTAAAAGTAAAACAATCTTGTGGCATGCGAGATCTCTACTTAATCTTTATGGCTCATTTACAGCGCATCCGGAAAGTGTTCATAGCGATTCACTTTTTCAACATTTTTTATGTTACAGCCTTTTTTCCAAAATGGATTTAATTTATTTATGTCCTCCAAATTCTACACACAATACCCCATAATGAGAATGTGTAAAAAGAAATTGAAAAAATGTTGAAATTGTGGCAAGTTTATAAAAAACCTGAAAAATCACATATACACAAGTATTCACAGGCTTTGCCGCAAAGCTCTACATTGAGCTCAGGTACATTCTATTTTCACTGATCATTCTTGAGATATTTCAGCAGCTTAATTGGAGTTCACCTGTGGTAAATTCCGTTGATTGGACATGATTTGAAAAAGCATTCACCTGTCTATTTAAGGTCCCAGGGTTGACAGTGCATGTTAAAGCAAAAACCAAGAATGAAGACAAAGGAATTGTCTGTAGACCTCCGTAGACAGGATTGTCTCGAAGCACAAGGCTGGGGAAGGTTACAAAAACATTTCTGCTGCGCTGAAAGTTCCAGTGAGCACAGTGGCCTCCATTATCGTGAGTGGAAGATGTTTTGAACCACCAGTACTCTTCCTAGAGCTGGCCAACCATCTAAGCTGAGTGTTCGGAGGAAAAGGACGTTATTGGGGGAGGTGATCAATAACCTGATGGTTACTTTGTCTGAGCTCCAACATTCTTCTGTGGAGAGAGGAAAACCTTAAAGAAGGACAACCATGTGCAGCAATCCACCAATCAGGCCTGTATGGTAGAGTGGCCAGACAGAAGCCACTCCCCGCCTGGAATTTGCCAAAAGGCATCTGAAGGACTCACAGACCATAAGAAAGAAAATTCTCTGGTCTGATGAGACTAAAATTGAATTCTTTGGAGTCAATGCCAGGCGTTATAGTTGGAGAAAAGTAGGCACCACTGATCACCAGACTGATAACATCCTCACAGTGGTGGCAGCGTCATGTTGGGGGGATGATTTTTAGCAGCATGAACTGGAAGACTAGTAAGGATAGAGGGAAAAATTAATGCAGTAATGTACAGAGACATCTCGAATGAAAACCGGCTTCAGAGTGCTCTTAACCTCAGATTGGGGTGACGGTACATCTTCCAGCAGGACATTGACCTAAAGCACACTGCCAAAATATCAGAGGAGTGGTTTCACAACAGTGAATGTCCTTGAGTGGCCCAGCCAGAGCCCAGACCTAAATCCTATTGAACATCTCTGGAGAGATCTAAAAAACAGCTGTACGCCGTCACTTCCCATCCAACCAGATGGTGTCACGGTTGATGATGCATGCGCTCTTTCTGTCATGTTGTCACGTGGGATTGTTTTGTATTCTTTCATGTCCTTCTGTTGTGTGTTGTAATCATGTGATTACAACACAGTACAGAAGTACATGAAAGAATTCAAAACAATCCCACGTGACAACATGACAGAAAGGGCGCATGCATCATCACCCATGACAGATATAGCTTGAGAGGTACTGCAAAAAGGAATGGGCAAAAATTCCCAAAGACAGGTGTGCCAAGCTTGGACATCATATTCAAAAAGACCTGAGGCTGTAATTGCTGCCAAAGGTGTATCAACAAAGTATTAAGCAAAGGCTGTGAATACGTATGTACATGTGATTTTTCAGATTAATTATTTTTTCTTATTTTTAATAAATTTGCAGAAATTACAAAAAATGTTTTTTTTTTTTTTTTTACATTGTCATTATGGGGTATTGTGTGTAGAATTTGGAGGAAATAAATTAACTGAATCAATTTTGGAATGAGGCTGTAACATAAAAAATGTGGAAAAAGTATAATGCTATGAATACTTTCCGGATGCACTGTAGGTAATATCTAGAACTGAGAAATTCATATTCTTGTTGAAACATCAAAATTGAGGTTTTATAAGTTATTAAAGCTTACCAAGCATTTTTTTGTTTTTAGAAGATATCTAATAGATGTCTAATAGACATCTAAACATAGTTGTCTTGGCTAAAACAAGGCTAAATTTGGGCTGTCAGTGCAAATCTAATAGATGTAAAAGAATAAGCCAAAACTAGACTAGTCATTAATAAATAGAAATGAATGACTACACATGAAAAGTCTGTCTAATCTGTCTATTTGACGACTAGTCTAGTTTTGGGCTATTCTTAGACGTCTATTAGATTTTCACTGACAGCCCAAGTTTAGCCTTGTTTTAGCTAAGCTGTCTTTGTTTAGATGTCTATTAAACACACAATTGCTTGCTGGGTTAATAAGACGCCATGTGAGAAGAAGACAGAAAGGTCTATCTTATACCCCTATCCTGTCACATTATGTAAAATTATTTCTCTAGCTAGTTTTATTTCAAACGCAATGTTGTCTTTATGCAGGTCACCTGAGCTCACTTGTTTGTCATGCCTAATTACATTTGTGCTTCGCTCAGTCTCCAAAATCATTATGAGAACTGAAGTGTATGGCAGCCAACAGAATTGCACCGTCAGCATTTTTGAGCCCCCTTCTTCACTCCATTTACCGACCACTATTAAGAGCGGATGGGTCCGCGGGGAATGCCGTATCATTTCTCTGTTTCAATTTGTGTTCCATAAATATCAGTAATGGGGCTCGCACGTCACAACTTACACAGTACCTGGCAGTAAAGATAACCCTCGGCAGTGTGTGTGTGTTCATATGTCGGTAGAAAGATGCATCCTGTCTTTTGTATGGATGAATCTCGCCTTTTGGATGGATTTCTTTACTTAATTTCCCTCATCCTTACTGTTTCCGTTATGAATTCAAACATTAAGAATGCACAACATTCATATTCTGTTCATAAATATACTGTGTTCTCTTAAAAAGGACGAAAAGGACAGATTCAATCAGATGAGTTTATATCCAGACTAGTGGGGGGATTAGGAATTAATGTGGGTTGAATTTTTATCAACCCCCTCCCATACACATTTTGGGACATAATCATGACTTTAAAGACCCAAGTTATGCCCAAGTTCACTCGAACATAAGTTCTTTATTATCTTTATGTAATAATATCACAATGGTCTATTTAGGTGGATAGATTAATAAAAATGAAAATGTACTTATTATTTACTTACTCTAAAGTGGTTTCAAACCTTTCTTCTGTTGAACAAAAAAGAAGATATTTTGAAGAAAGCTGAAAGCTTGTAACCATTGACGTCCTATCTATCTATCCATTCGTCTATCCATCTATCTATCTATCTATCTATCTATCTATCTATCTATCTATCTATCTATCTATCTATCTATCTATCTATCTATCTATCTATCTATCTATCTATCTATCTGTCTGTCTGTCTGTCTGTCTGTCTGTCTGTCTGTCTGTCTGTCTGTCTGTCTGTCTGTCTGTCTGTCTGTCTGTCTGTCTGTCTGTCTATTCATCTCTTTATCTGTCTATCTATCTATCAACAACAAATAAAATATTTTGTAGAAATCTAAAAATGTCTGTCTGTCTGTCTGTCTGTCTGTCTGTCTGTCTGTCTGTCTGTCTGTCTGTCTGTCTATCTATCTATCTATCTATCTATCTATCTATCTATCTATCTATCTATCTATCTATCAACAAAACAAAAAGATATTTTGTAGAAAGCTGAAAACATGTAACCATTGACTTCCATAGTAGGAAAAACAAATACTGTTGAAGTCAGTGGTTAAAGGTTTCCAGCATTTTTCAAAGTATCTTCTTTTGGTTTAACAGAAGAAAAAAACTCAAAGTTTAAAACAAGTAAATGATGCGTAAACAGCATTATTATTATTTATTGGTGAACTATGTCAAATTTGTAAAAACATATGCCAGTCAATCCAATGTTTTTCTTAAATAATCTGTACGGCACTACCAAATCTTATATTCGCCTTATCTGCACACAATGAACTTTTCTGAAGATATCAGCAGAATAGTAACGCCTGTGATTCAAGTTCTACACATCCCAGGTGAATATGATTATGCTTTAAATCCATTGCTTCAGAAAAAAATGGTGCAGAATATGAGAGAAGACTGGCATACTGTTCCTCAGTGCTGAGATCTGGGATTTGATGCTAACACTGCTATTCTTTAGTGGAAAATCTCGAGAATCCTCATGATTTCAATTAGTAAAGCATCTAATGGTTTGTGATCGAGAAGTGCCAATGACTAAATCACACAGGGAGGTGGATCTTTATATTATTATGAGTCATCATACTGTGTTAAAACTTATGATGATGATGTCAAACTCGTGATGACTGCAAGACTGAGTAAAATGTTTCAGGAGTGACTGTGATTGGCTGTGTGCCAAAAGTCTTTTTTAAGCATAAATTATTTTGGGATTCATGCTTTTTATTGGGCAAAATCTGCTCTATTCTAATCTATTCATTTAATTTATCAATGAATGAATGAATGAATGAATATCTATCTATCTATCTATCTATCTATCTATCTATCTATCTATCTATCTATCTATCTATCTATCTATCTATCTATCTATCTATCTATCTATCTATCTATCTATCTATTTATCTATATATCTATCTATCTATCTATCTATCTATCTATCTATCTATCTATCTATCTATCTATCTATCTATCTATCTATCTCTCTGTCTGTCTGTCTGTCTGTCTGTCTGTCTGTCTGTCTGTCTGTCCGTCCG